GGAATCCTGGAATTGATAGTTTGGTGAGGCACCAACAATCGCTGGCAGAAAAAGACCCTGTACAACTACAACTCCATAACCATTGAGCCATGGTAAAGTGGTATTAATCTGCATTAATTTTACAGTATAGATGCACCCTTAGTGATGCAAACAAGCTTTGCGATTCCGTGGCTTCTTGCTGCATTAAAATGGTTACTCTTCTAGTGTTCATTGTCTTTTAATTTGACGTTAATCAAAAGAATCCTATCCCTGTTTACCTGAAAATAATCCCATCGTAGGACAGTGTTGCAACAGAACTTTTTTCCAGGACAATATTGTTATAGGCTTATCACTACCAGTAATTTGGAAATCATATAAATCTTTTAAAGGGGGGTATTTTCTAAGCTTGGAGTGACAACAGAGGACAAATATATTAGAAGAACTAGCTGTACTCACCACGTGTTGCTGTGTCCAACCTTCCTTCCCTCTTTCTCTCCTTCCTTTCCTTTTTTCTTTCCCTTTCTCCTTCATTCCTTCTCTTCCTCTTGCCTTTCTCCCCCCCCCCCTTTTCTTTCCCTTCCTCTTCCTCCCCATTCTTCCTTCTCTACCTATTCTTGGACTGCAACTCCCAGCCGTCCTCCTAATCAATCTACCTACCTATATGTCACATTTGTTTCAATTCCATCATTGGTGGAGTTCAGAATGCTCTTGGATTGTAGGTGAACTATAAATCCCAGCAACTACAAAATCAATTTTTGAGTGGTGGTCACTCCTTGGGTTAGTAGGTGTCTTGTGGCCAAATTTGGCAGCAATTCATCCAGTGGTTTTTGAGTTATGTTAATCCCACAAACGAACATTACATTTTTATTTATATAGACTAGCTATCCCCTGCCATGTGTTGCTGTGGCCCAGTCTGTGTATATGTGTTTTGTGTGTGTGTATGTGTATATGTGTGTGTATATATTTATATATATGTGGTTTTGCACATGCATTGTAATGGATTTTTTTTTTTTGGCTTTTTAAGTCTCTTCCATTGTGTTTTTCAGTGTCTTTGTGAGTGATAGTTACTCGTTGGCCTGATAAGTGTCTTGTGTCCAAATCTGGTGTCAATTCACACAGTAGTTTTTGAGTTATGTTAATCCCACAAGCGAACATTACATTATTATTTATATAAATTAGGTAGGTTGATCACAATTGGGTAGCAAACTATTGTCATTGAAACTAGCAGGAAAGAGCATTCTGTTGTTAGTTATTAAACCAAAAGAAGAGATTGCAATAGTAGAAGTTGAGGAAGTGCTTCCGTCTTAGTGGAAAGTGGGAACCGTGTGTGGGATGGGGAATCCCACTTTTATTTGCATTCTGAGATCAGAGACAACAGCACGATTTCCTTTAGCCATTGCTCCACTGGGATTCCCCACTGGGAACAAAAGAAAGGCAGAGGAAATCCCACTATTATCGTCTTTTATCAAAGTTACCAGCAGTATTCCCTCTACACTGCTTATCTTCCCAATGGGAAGGCAAGCATCTTATGGAGAGATCTCTGCAACCACAAGGGACAATACATTTGTACTCAAAGTTACTTGGAGGATATGTAAAAATGTCAATGATTTTAATTCATTAATTTTCCCATTTGTAATTTAGCTATGATGCTAATTTGACACAGAAACTTAGAATAGCCGTGCTTCTACATTTTTTCATATAAGCTACTATAGTCATACCATGTGTACATTTAAGCCCCACTATATTTAATGTGGGGCCTTGGTGGTGCAGCGGGTTAAACCGCTGAGCTGCTGAACTTGCTGACTGAGAGGTTGACGGTTCAAATCCAGGAAGCGGGGTGAGCTCCCACTGTTAGCCCCAGCTTCTGCCAACCTAGCAGTTCGAAAACATGCTAATGTGAGTAGATTAATAGGTGCTGCTTCTGCAGGGCTATAACGGCACTCCATGCAGTCATACTGGCCACAAGACCTTGGAGGTGTCTATAGACAATGCCAGCTCTTCGGCTTAGAAATGGAGATGAGCAACCCCCAGAGTCTGGACTTAATGTCAGGGGAACCCTTTACTATATTTAATTTGGTTTATGCCAGTGATGGTGAACCTATGACACGCGTGTCAACACTGACACGCATGGCTATTTTTGATGACATGTGGCCACATACAGAGAAGTACACCTTATAAGAGCCAATCTAATTCCATCCTTAAATTTGTAAAAGGCTCTACAAATTTAACATCTGCACATTTGAGCATTGTTCACTCCATAACTCAGCATGGAATATACATTTTTCTCATTTAAACTATAAGTATTGCAAAATTATGGGTGTTTTTTTTTCTCTAAGTTGACACCCCACCCAAGTTATGCTCAGGTTTTTGCAAATTTTGACACACCAAGCTCAAAAGGTTGCCCATCACTGGTTTATGCACTGCTAGATGTGAGCAGGTTTGCAACTGTCAAGTTACTATCATTGTGCTTTCATACCTTACTAAGTGCATTATTATTATTATTATTATTATTATTATTATTATTATTATTTCTTACCTGCCTCTCCTCATGGCTCGAAGCGGGTTACAACATGGCCAAAACACACACAATCGTCTAAAAACGTTCTACAAAATACACATATTAAAACATATTTCTACGAAATATATATTAAAATACACAGAACAAAGTACAAACATAAGACACAAGTTGAAAATTCATGATTAAAACAGGCTGGGTAGACCTGCCAGAAGAGATAGGTTTTAAATTCCAACACCTTGTTTAGCTGTGGGATCTTTTCCAGCAGGCCATTTTGCAGTCTTCTTTGAGGTCAATGAAAAGGTATTGGGGGTAATGGTCAGCAGTCGGGTTTTGGCTTGTTGGATGATGCATTCTCCAAGAGAGCCCCATGTCCTAAAGGACCATAGATTGTGCCGGAGAAGGGGATCCTGTAGGTAACCTGGACCCAAGCCATGTAGGTCAGCGTTTCTCAACCTGGGGTTGGGATCCCTAAGGAGGTCACAAGGGGGGTTTCAGAGAGGTCTCCAAAGACCATCAGAAAACATATATTTCTGATGGTCTGAGGAACCCCTTTGGCAGAGAAGGCTGAAGATCTCGCTGCCTGTCCTTCTCTTCCTTTTTGGAAACAGACGGCGAATCCTCCCACCAAAAGCCTTCCTTCCACTCTCTGGGTGTAGGTGAACTACAACTCCAAAACTAAAGGACCATAGATTGTGCTGGAGAAGGGGATCCTGTAGGAATCCTGGACCCAAACCATGTAGGTCAGCATTTCTCAACCTGGGGTCGGGACCCCTGAGGAGTTCATGACAGGGGTTTCAGAGGGGTTGCCAAAGACTATCAGAAAACACATATTTCTGATGGTCTGAGGAACCCCTTTGGCAGAGAAGGCTGAAGATCTCGCTGCCTGTCCTTCTCTTCCTTTTTGGAAACAGATGGCCAATCCTCCCACCAAAAGCCTTCCTTCCACTCTCTGGGTGTAGGTGAACTACAACTCCAAAACTAAAGGACCATAGATTGTGCCGGAGAAGGGGATCCTGTAGGTAACCTGGACCCAAACCATGTAGGTCAGCATTTCTCAACCTGGGGTTGGGACCTCTAAGGAGGTCGCAAGGAGGGTTTCAGAGAGGTCTCCAAAGACCATCAGAAAACATATATTTCTGATGGTCTTAGGAACGCCTTTGGCAGAGAAGGATGAAGATCTCTCCAACTGTCCTTCTCTTCCTTTTTGGAAACAGATGGCCGAATCCTCCCCCCAAAAGCCCTCCTCTGCTGTGATTGTCTGGGCTCTCCGCCGGCCTCTCAGCCAAGGGAAGGGCTGTTTCTCAGACTCCAACCAGGGAGGGGAGAGCAGGCATGCTCGGCACATGGCAACATAGTGTGCGTACGTGGGCAAGGGAAACGGTGCAAGGCTGCACGGAGGCTCATGCCAGTGATTCTCTTCAAGATATGGGGGTTCTGTGTGGGAAGTTTGATCCAATTCTATCATTGGTGGGGTTCAGAATGCTCTTTGTGTGTAGGTGAACTATAAATCCCAGCAACTACAACCCCCAAATGTCAAAGGTCTGTTTTCCTAAAACTCCACCAGTGTTCACATTTGGGCATATTGAGTATTCCTGCCAAGTTTGGTCCAGGTCTGTCATTGTCTGAGTCCACAGTGCTCTCTGGATGTAGATGAACTACAACTCTCAAACTTTTATTTTATTTAGTATCAGAAGCATTGCATAAATTAATATAAAACTGATAAAAATAGAAGGAGCGCAGGTGGCTAAATGTCTTTTGACCAAAAACGGGCAACAGCAATGGCATTGTCTGTAGCCTCCAACAATTCTTCCTCTGTACATGAGGCAGGGCATAGTGGACAAGCATACAGATGCGGAGTTGTCTGTTCTGCTCCACAGTCACATAAGGTGTGGGATTCTTTTAGGTCATGCCATTTTGACAGGTTGTCTTTTGATCTGCCCACTCCGCTTCTGAGTCTGTTCAGGTACTTTTGATACGAAATAAATAAACTGAGAGTAACTTAAGATCAATGCCCACCAAACCCTTCCAGTATTTTCTGTTGGTCATGGGAGTTCTGTGTGCCAAGTTTGGTTCCATTCCATTGTTAGTGGAGTTCAGAATGCTCTTTGATTGTAGGTGAACTATAAATCCCAGCAACTACAACTCCCAAACGACAAAATCAATCCCTCCCCACCCATCCCCACCAGTATTCAAATTTGGGCGTATCGGATATTTGTGCCAAATTTGGTCCAGTGAATGAAAAAACATCCTGCATATTGGATGTTTACATTATGATTCATAACAGTAGCAAAATTATAGTTATGAAGTAGCAACGAAAATAACGTGATAGTTGGGGGTCACTACAACATGAGGAACTGCATTAAGGGGTTGCGGCATTGGGAATGTTGAAAAACACTGTTCTAGGGCAATTTTGGCTGGGACAAAAAAGCTTGCCTCACAGGATGGATTTGAAACTAAAGCTTTACTTATACACCTATCTTTCTGTTCTTTTTCCCCCCACCAGTGTTCTTGATAACAATACTAGTAGTGGAAGGGATTGCTGTGGCTCAGAAGACTCAAGGTACAGTTCAAGTTTTCTTTTGGAAAATCTGTAATTATGTCTTTCTTGTACAAGGAATGTGTGAAATTCAGAGGTGCCTCTTTTCCCAAACAAGTCTTATTTATTGTCGAAGGCTTTCATGGCTGGAATCACTAGGTTCTTGTAGGTTTTTTCGGGCTATATGGCCATGTTCTAGAGGCATTTTTCCTGATGTTTCGCATGCATCTATGGCAAGCATCCTCACTACCTCTGAGGATGCTTGCCATAGATGCAGGTGAAACGTCAGGAAAAATGCCTCTAGAACATAGCCATATAGCCCGAAAAAACCTACAAGAACCTAAGTCTTATTTACCTAACTGGAAAAGGGAATAAAATCAAATTACCAATACTTTTATAATTAAGTTAGTATAGCAAAGAGTGTCAGAGTGGGGCAACAGTTTATTTATATATATATATATATATATTTACTGTATTTATATATTTATTTATATATTTATATACCGTCCCTCTCAGCCCGCAGGCAACTAGGGGCGGTGTACAGTTGTTACCAAGACCATAAAATACAACTTCAATACCATAAAAACGATCAGAGAATATAAAACCATAGCAAAGTCAATTAAAAACACATATCGTTAGGGTCCCCTTGTTAAAACATTGTCCAGTCACGTCGTCAACCGTTCCATTTTGCTATGTCTGTTACACTGTATTTGCAAATGCCTGCTCAAAAAGCCAAGTCTTGACTCTTTTTCAAAAGGTCAAAGTGGAGGGGGCCAAATTGATATTCTTAGGGTGTTCCATAGCTGAGGGGCCACCACTGAGAAGGCCCTGTCTCTCGTCCCCACCAAACGTGCTTGTGCTGGTACAACTGCACCAGGAGCTCCAATTTTGTTTGCTTTGCATTTAATGTTTGTTGCAGTCCTAAGTTTCAGGGACTCTGCAGATAGGTGGCTTCTTTTGGCTGCAATCATAGGGCAAGCCACCTGTCAATTATAGTTAGGTTCCCTGGTCCCGCCTCCCTTTGGAGTTTTGGAGGGAGTAGGAGCCTTTTTGGGTCAGTCCACACAGAGAAGCCTTTCGCACAGGACATAAAACGAAGAGCTCCTATAGAAAGCTTCGTCTTCTACGGCTTGGCCGGGGAGATATCCAGCCTACACCTTGGCCGGGGTGAAAAGGCTCTACAGCTTGGCCAGAGTTTTAGAGCCCACAGCTTGGCCAAGGATTTTACAGCCTTACAGCTCCTTTTGCTGAAGGACTTCAGCCAGCCATCACAGCAACCTGAACTCCTTCTTTTTCCCTGGAAGTCTACAAAGCTCTGCTTGGCAAGGGTCACTCGCGAAAGCCAGACGCAGTTGGTACCGGGTGCAGGGGCTCCACGCCAACAGAGGCAAGTACAGACTGCCCAGGTTAGAAGTTAAGGATTTAACTGTTTATGTCCTGTTTACAGTCATATGCACAGGCCTAGCGTGCGACAGCACAGTGCTTGTGGCAAAGGTGGGACCAAGAGCAGGGCCTCCCCAGACAATCTTAATGTCCTGGTAGGTTCATAAGGAGAGATGCGTTCAGACAGATAAATTGGGCCAGAACTGTTTAGGGTGTTGGACTGGGTTTTTAGGAGTCAAGGTTTCAAATCCCAACCCAGCCATGTAATAAACCTAGAGTGACTTTGGGGACATTGTGATCTCTGTCAGCCTTAGAGAAAAGCTGCGGCAAATATATCCTGGGGGGAAAAAAATCTGGCAAGAAGACCAGATGAAAAAGTTACCATAACTTGGAGTCAACTTCAAGGAACATAGCAACAACACATCTCGAACTGACACATACGTTCTATTCAGTTGTTTATCCATTCATTCATAAATCATATATTCCCCAGGCTTGCCCAATTTCTCTTTCACTGGAACACAAGTCCCATCATTGACAAGTTTGGACAGAGTTTCCCATCGATATTATTAACCAACATTAAGTAAGAGCCCTTGGGGACACAATGGGTTAAACCCTTGTGCTGGCTGAACTGCTGACCGAAAGCTCAGTGGTTTGAATCCGGGGAGCAGGATGAGCTCCCATCTGTCAGCTGCAGCTTCCCACATAGGGACATGAGAGAAATCTCCTGTGCTATTCTAATAATATAATATATTGTATATACATATAATATTTATAATATTATAATGTAATGCAATATACTACTACTAATAATAATAATAATAATAATAATAATATGATATTATAATTATATATTTATATTACATACAATATTACTAATAATCTATATATATAAAAATACTCTGTGTGTAATGAGTACCTTAAAAACAAAAAAAACTACTGGGTCAAATGACCCCAAATTTGGCAACAAAACTCACAATCCAAGGAGTGACCATCACTGAAAAAAAAACCACAAAAATACTTTAAATTCAAAATATTACTATATTAAATAGACTCATAGAATAGAATTAGAAGGGACTCTACCATAGTATTGCAGGAGGACAGGAAGGAAGGAAAGAGAGAAGGAGGGAGGGAAAGAAGGAAGGAGGGAAGGAAGGAAAGGGAGAGAAGGAAGGAAAGAAAGGTACAGAAGGAAGAATACAAAGTAGGAGGGAAAGAAAAAGGGGAGGAAAGGCAGGAAAGAGGTAAAGAAGTAAGGAAGGAGAAAAGGAAATAAAAAGTGAAAGAAGGAAGGAAAGAGGGAGGGAACAAAGAAAACTAAGGAAGAAGTAGAGAAAGGGGAAGGGAAGGAAGGGAAGAAAGAAGGAAGGAAGGAAGGATGAAACCAAAGAGCAAAAGAAGGAATGAAAAAGGAGGTAGAGAAGGAAGAAAGGAGAGAAAGGGGAAGGGGTAGAAAAAAGGGAAGGAATAGGTAGGTACCACTCTTTCATAATAGTCCAGATATCTACCTCTACTTCAAAAATTCTTACTATAGGCCACAGCAACGCGTGGCAGGGCACAGCTAGTATTACAATATAGTAATATTTAATACTGATGTTGTATTATGCTAATAATATAATGTATTACATGTATATATATCTTGTAAGTCACTCTGAGTCCCCTTTGGGGTGAGAAGGGCAGGATATAAATGTCGTAAATAAATAAATAAGCCTCCCACAGGATGGTCAAACATCTGGGCATCCCCTGGGCAACGTCCTTGCAGATTGCCAATTCTCTCACACCAGAAACGACTTGCAATTTCTCAAGTCACTCCTGAGACGAAAAAAAGAAAAACCGACTAAGTCAAATTTCCCCAGGTTCAGTGTCATGGGATGTTCCCATGGAAAAGGGGAAGGGTGAGAAAAAACCAGGTTCCTGTCCTACTAATTCATGTCTTCATAACCATGCTTTATGAAGCCATGGTCATTGAAGACAGCCTTACATAATAAAGAAGGGAGATTTGTTCTTGTAGTGTTGACAGAAAAGGCCTTTACTAATTAACTTTTTCACAAGTCAATATATCTGTTAATTGCTCCCCAAGTAAGACGTATTCATGATGAAAAGGCACTGAATAATTAGCACTTGGCAAGCTTTGGTGGAAATAAATTTCACATTAAATATTCCACGTGCTGTTTAAATTCATTATATGTACCCTTACATGTAATCTGTCTTTTAGTTGCTGTTCAGTACTTATATTCCTGCAGAGAGGAAGATTCACTTCTAGTTGGAATATTGGAGGAATATCTTTTTTTCCTTCCGGAATATAAGTGTCATAGCATATGGAGATCTCATAAGATTATGGGAATCTAGTAAACAGAAGCTTTGAAATGCTAGCTGAAGCAGCGAACACATTCCCATTACCATATACACTGAGTATAAGCCTACCTGAATATAAGCCAAGGTGCCTAATTTTACCATAAAAAACTGGGAAAACATATTGAATCAAGTATAAAACGAGGATGGGAAATGCAGCAGCTATTTTTATTTTATTTCAGAATAAAAATAGATACCAATAAAATTACATTAATTGAGGCATCAAAAGGTTAAATGTTTTTGAATATTTACATAAAACTATAATTTAAGATAAGACGGCCCAACTCTCATTAAACCATTATTCTAACCACCTTCAATGTAAATGTGTTCTTATGTATCCTTCCATTAATAATAGAGTAAAATAATAAATGCAGTAATAATAATAATAATAGAGTAAAATAATGTAATAATAACAAGAATAATGTAATAATAACAAGAATAAATAGAGTAAAATAATGGAAATGTAATCATCATCATAATAATAGAGTAAAATAATAAATATAATAATAAAAATAGAGTAAAATAATAAATGTAATAATAATAAGTAGAGTAAAATAATAACTGTAATAATAACAATAATTAGAGAAAAATAATAAATGTAATAATAACAATAACAAATAGAGTAAAATAATAAATGTAATAAAAATAATAAATAGAGTAAAATAATAAATGTAATAATAAAAAGTAGAGTAAAATAATAAATGTAATAGTAATAAAATAGAGTAAAATAAGAAGTGAAGAACAGATTTGAAGGACTAGATATAGTAAACAGAGTCCCAGAAGAACTATGGACAGAAGTCCGAGACATTGTTCAGGAGGCGGCAACAAAGTACGTCCCAAAGAAAAAGAAAACCAAGAAGGCAAAATGGTTGTCTGCTGAGACACTGGAAGTAGCCCAAGAAAGGAGGAAAGCAAAAGGAAACAGGGATAAGGGGAGATATGCCCAGTTAAATGCGCAATTCCAGAGGTTAGCCAGAAGAGAGAAGGAACTATTTTTAAATAAGCAATGCATGGAAGTGGAAGAAGACAACAGAATAGGAAGGACAAGAGACCTCTTCCAGAAAATTAGAAACATTGGAGGTAAATTTCAGGCAAAAATTGGTATGATAAGAAACAAAGATGGCAGGGACCTAACAGAAGCTGAAGAGATCAAGAGAAGGTGGCGAGTCTATACAGAAGATCTGTATAGGAAGGATAATAATATCGAGGATAGTTTTGACGGTGTGGTGAATGAATTAGAACCAGACATCCTGAGGAGTGAGGTTGAATGGGCCTTAAGAAGCATTGCTAACAACAAGGCAGCAGGAGACGACGGGATCCCAGCTGAACTGTTTAAAATCTTAAAAGATGATGCTGTCCAGGTGATGCATGCCATTTGACAGCAAATATGGAAAACACAAGAATGGCCATCAGACTGGAAAAAATCACTTATATCCCCATACCAAAAAAGGGAAATGCGAAAGACTGCTCAAACTTCCGTACAGTGGCCCTTATTTCTCATGCCAGTAAGGTAATGCTCAAGATCCTGCAAGGAAGACTCCAGCAATACATGGAGCGAGAGTTGCCAGATGTTCAAGCTGGGTTTAGAAAAGGCAGAGGAACGAGAGACCAGATTGCCAATATCCGCTGGATAAGGGAGAAAGGCAGGGAGTTTCAGAAAAACATCTGCTTCTGCTTCATTGACTATTCTAAAGCCTTTGACTGTGTGGATCATAATAAATTGTGGCAAGTTCTTGGTGGGATGGGCATCCCAAGCCACCTTGTCTCTCTCCTGAGGAATCTGTACAAGGACCAAGTAGCAACAGTCAGAAATGACCACGGAACAACAGACTGGTTCAAGATTGGGAAAGGCGTACGGCAAGGCTGCATCCTCTCACCCAACCTTTTTAACTTGTATGCAGAACACATCATGCGATGTGCGGGGCTTGATGAATGCAAGGCTGGGGGGAAAATTGCTGGAAGAAACATTAACAACCTCAGATATGCAGATGACACCACTCTGATGGCCGAAAGCGAGGAGGAGCTGAGGAGCCTTCTAATCAAGGTGAAAGAAGAAAGCGCAAAAGCCGGGTTGCAGCTAAACGTCAAAAAAACCAAGATTATGGCATCAAGAATGATTGACAACTGGAAAATAGAGGGAGAAACCGTGGAGGCCGTGACAGACTTTGTATTTCTAGGTGCAAAGATTACTGCAGATGCAGACTGTAGCCAGGAAATCAGAAGACGCTTACTTCTTGGGAGGAGAGCAATGTCCAGTCTCGATAAAATAGTGAAGAGTAGAGACATCAGACTGGCAACAAAGATCCGCCTAGTCAAAGCCATGGTATTCCCTGTAGTAACCTACGGATGTGAGAGCTGGACCTTAGGGAAGGCTGAGCGAAGGAAGATCGATGCTTTTGAGCTGTGGTGTTGGAGGAAAGTGCTGAGAGTGCCTTGGACTGCGAGAAGATCCAACCAGTCCATCCTACAGGAAATAAAGCCCGACTGCTCACTGGAGGGAAAGATACTAGAGACAAAGTTGAAGTACTTTGGCCACATCATGAGGAGACAGGAAAGCCTAGAGAAGACAATTATGCTGGGGAAAGTGGAAGGCAAAAGGAAGAGGGGCCGACCAAGGGCAAGATGGACGGATGGCATCCTTGAAGTGACTGGACTGACCTTGAAGGAGCTGGGGGTGGTGACGGCCGACAGGGAGCTCTGGCGTGGGCTGGTCCATGAGGTCACGAAGAGTCGGAGACGACTGAACGAATGAACAACAACAACATAATAAGAAATGTAATGATAATAGAGTAGAATAATAAATGTAATAGCAATAATAAATAGAGAAAATAATAAATGTAAAAAAATAAATGGAGTAAAATAAGAAATATAATAAAAATAAAAACAGAGTAAAATAATAAATGTAATAATAATAGAGTAAAATAATAAATATAATAACAATAATTAGAGAAAAATAATAAATGTAATACTAATATAGTAAAATAATAAATACAACAATAAGGATAATAAAAATAAAGTAAATGTAATAATAATAATAATAATAATAATAATAATAGAGTAAAATAATAAATAACTTTGACTGGAGTATAAGCCAAGGGGGGCCTTTTCAGCCTAAAAAAGTGTCTGAAAAACTCAGTTTATACTTGAGTATATAAGGTATTTTTCATCTGAGCAGCAATGTTTCTGTGAGATGTCAGGTTGATATTACCTGAGTAAACCGCATTGAGTCGCCGTTCAGGCTGATAAATGCGGTATACAAATGGAGTAAATAAATAAATAAACTCCATGCCCATTTTGGAATATCATTCACCTATCCTTGTAAAGAAGTAGCTTAACAAATCTAAGCACTTTATGGGGAAGAGATCTATAGCAATAAATTGTTTCTTGCTCAATAGATAAATAGTGTCAGTCCACAAGGCTCACCAATCTATAGGACTGTTGTTTGCAGATATTTCCTAGAATGACTCGTTCCTCTGTTTCATTCACAAAGTTGGCCAGAATACTGGAGGCAACCGCATGGCATCTACCCAGTGCAGCGATTGGGTGCGAACAAGCAATGGAGGCCACTTTGCTTCACCGAACTTCCCTAAATTCTACCCACCCAACCAGGAATGTGTCTATATTTTAGAAGGTAATGCATTGTCTTTATGATTATTGAGGTTTTTTTCTTATTTCATTGCTCAAAGATATGGGTGTTGTCTGCAGTTCTACAGTCAAGTATGTGAAAATGTGTCTCTCTCACTAATAGACCAATCGGTTATACGTATCTGAATATTCAGTTAGCTTATTTAATTGTGGTCTAAGCCTCAAGATTGTAACTGTTATGGGAGAATTTCTCTCCAAATAGTACAATTCAAAGTGCTTGTTTTTATTTATATATATATATATATATATATATATATATATATATATATATATATATATATATCTGTGTTTATTTTCCACCCTGCTTCTTAGGCCCCTTCTACACTGCCATATAATCCAGATTATCAAAGCAGATAATCCACATTACCTATGTTGAACTGCATTATCTGAGTCTACACTGTCATATAATCCAGTTCAAAGCAGATAGTCTGGATTTTTATGCCAGTGTAGAAGGGGCCTTAGATGACAGAACCTATATGCTTAAGTTGCAAAATGTTTGCATGTTTATGTTTCACTTATGTGCCAAACAGTATAATTTCATATGCTAGGCTATAAATGAAGCATTTATGTTGCTAAAGTGGCAAAATAGATATTACATCTATTTCAAACTCTGTTCTCTTGCAGAAAAATACAAAAATGAATGTTTTACCCATTACTTCAAAATGCCCAGCAATATTTGATCGAAGGGCCTCATCACACTAGAGAATGAATACACTTTAAATCCAATTGCTGCCTCCTGCAGAATTCTGGGGTTTGTAGTTTAGGGAGGCTGTTAAAGGCTCCTCCCTGAACTACAAACCCCAGAGTTCTGCAGGAAGCAGCAATTGGATTTAAAGTAGATTCGTTCTCTAGTGCAGTGTTTCTCAACCTGGGGGTCGGGACCCCTGGGGGGTCACTAGGGGGTTTCACCAAAGGCCATCAGAAAACAGCATTTTCTGTTGGTCATGGGGGTTCTCTGTGGGAAGTTTGGCCCAATTTTATCGTTGGTGGGGTTCAGCATGCTCTTTGCTTGAACTATAAATCCCAGCAACTACAACTCCCAAATGTCAAAGACTATTTTCCCCCAAACTCCACCAGTGGCATATATTTGGACATATTGAGTATTCATGCCAAGTTTGGTCCAGATCCATCATTGTTTGAGTCCACAGTGCTCTCTGGATATAGGTGAACTACAACTCCCAAACTCTAGGTCAATGCCCACCAAACCCTACCAGTATTTTCTGTTGGTTATGGGAGTTGTGTGTGCCAAGTTTGGTTCAATTCTATCATTGGTGGAGTTCAGAGTGCTCTTAGATTGTAGGTGAACTATGAATCCCAGCAACTGCAACTCCCAAATGAGAAAATCAATTTTTTTGAGTGATGGTCACTCCTTGGGTTAGTAGGTGTCAATGCCCACCAAACCCTTCTAGTGTTTTCTGTTGGTTATGGGAGTTGTGTGTGCCAAGTTTGGTCCAATTCTATCATTGGTGGAGTTCAGAGTGCTCTTAGATTGTAGGTGAACTATGAATCCCAGCAACTACAATTCCCAAATGACAGAATCAATCCCCTCACAACCCTGCCCAGTATGCAAATTTAGGTGCACCAAATTTGGTCCAGTGAATGAAACTACATCCTTCATCTTAAATATTAGAATTCATAACAGTAGCAAAATTACAGTTATGAAGTTGCAATGAAAATAATGTTATGGTTGGGGGTCTACACAACATGAGGAGCTGTATTAAGGGGTCACAGCATTAGGAAGGTTGAGAAACACTGCTCTAGTGTGATGAAGTAGAAAAACCACGTTTCACTTGCTTAGGTTTCATGGTTGTGCACCGACGGTTCTTGACGAAGCGTTTTCTCTTTTATTATCGACAGATGGCATATTGTTTTTGTGCCTTTTTCTCAATATACTTTCAGAACAATTTTGTGTTATAAGCGGAGTCATAAATATGTCAATAGGTTCAGAATCGTTCTCCGTGTTTCTGTAAGTCCTATTGATCTGGGTTGTCTTTCCTTCGTCACAGCTGCTCCGCGCCAAAGAATTGAATTGACTTTTGATGAGCCATATTACATCGAGCCTTCGTTCGAATGTCGCTTTGATCACCTGGAGGTTCGAGACGGACCCTTTGGTTTCTCCCCCCTCATTGACCGCTACTGTGGTCTCAAAAGCCCAACCTTGATTCGATCAACAGGCAGATTTATGTGGATAAAGTTTACTTCCGACGAAGAGCTCGAAGGAGAAGGGTTTAAAGCCAAGTATTCCTTTATACCAGGTGAAAAAATGTCCTCACTTTTCTCACTTTGCCTTTAAGAGATTATTATGCAAAGATACTGTTGAATTCATTGATGAGTTTAACAATATTAGAACTGACACTATGTGTTTTGTTCGTTTATGGGCTTATCCAGACAAGGAAAAAAAAATCCCTGGGAATCTATCAATACTATTTGTTCTGCTTGTTTTGATTTGTAATAAGGGTCTTTGGACCATAATAAAATTGTTGTTTGTTGTTGTTGTTGTTTGACATTCTTAGCCATAGGGTTGTTGTAGGTTTTTCCGGGCTATATGGCCATGTTCTGGAGGCAATTTTTCTCCTGACGTTTCGCCTGCATCTATGGCAAGCATCCTCAGAGGTAGTGAGGTCTGTTGGAAGTAGGAAAAATGGGTTTATATATCTTTGGAATGACCAGGGTGAGACAAAGGACTCTTGTCTGCTGGGGCCAGGTGTGAATGTTTCAGCTGATCACCTTGATCAGCATTCAATGGCTTGGAAGTGCCTGGGGGAAATCTTTCGTTGAGAGTGATTTTATGTGCCTGTTTTTTTCCCCTCTGTTGTTTTGCTGTTGTAATTTTTGAGTTTTTAATTCTTAGCCATAGTTTGCAATCCAAACACTTTCTTGAAATATCCTGGGTTTCTATCTCTTCTTTAGAGTTCCTCCTCCCCCTTTCCATGTGTCACATCTAGAAACAGACAACATTTTAGACTACAGCTCCCAGCATTCCTCATCATTGGTTTGTTGGTTGTTGTCCATAGAGTTCTTGGAAGGGCTTGTGGTTTCCACTCATGTTCTAAAGATAGTGTAGATCATCATCTATATCAGGGGTCCTCAAACTAAGGCCCGAGAGCCGAATACGGCCCTCCAAGGTCATTTACCCGGCCCACACTCAGGGTCAACCTAAGTCAGAAATGACTTGAAAGCACACAACAACAGCAACAACAACAATCCTATCTCATCAGTCAAAAGCGGGACCACACTTCCCATTGAAGTACTAATAAGTTTATATTTGTTAAAATTGTTCTTCGTTTTAATTATTGTATTGTTTTAAGTGTTTTTTGCACTACAAATAAGATCTGTGCAGTGTGCATAAGAATTCATTCATGGTTTTTTCTTCAAATTATAATCTGGCCCTCCAGCAGTTTGAGGGACTGTGACCTGGCCTTCTGTTTAAAAAGTTTGAAGACCCCTGATCTATATAAATAAAAATGTAATGTTCATTTGTGGGATTAACACAACTAAAAAATCACTGGATGAATTGACACAAAATTTGGACACAATACACCTCTCAGGCCAGTGAGTGACCATCACTCATAAAAACACAGCAGAAGAGACTTTAAAAGCCATAAAATCAAAAAATGCATGACAACACATGAGCAAAACCACATATATACACATATATAATGTAATACAATATAATACTACTAATAATAATATATTGTAATTATATAATTTATATTACATGTAATATTACTAATAATATTACAATATAATGGTATAGTACAATATAGTAATATATAATACTGATATTGTACTTTAATAATAATATAATATGTTGTATGTATATATATCTTGTAAGCCGCTCTGAGTCCCCTTCCGGGTGAGAAGGGCGGCATATCAATGTCGTAAATTAAATTTCAGAAATATATACACACACATATACACATGTATGCACACACAAAACACATATACACAGACTGGGCCACAGCAACACGTGGCAGGTGACGGCTAGTCATTTCATAAATTGCCTTTCTTCGATTTCCACAGAGACCTTTTGCTTTTTTTGTTCATGTCAGGAGCGACTTGAGAAACTGCAAGTCATTTCTGGTGTGAGAGAATTGGCCATCTGCAAGGATGTTGCCCAGAGGATGCCCGGATGTTTTGATGTTTTACCATCCTATGGGAGGCTTCTCTCATGTCCCTACTTGGGGAGCTGGAGCTGACAGGGGGAGCTCATCCGGACTCTCCCTGGATTCAAACCTACGACCTATCGGTCTTCGGTCCTGCCGGCACAAGAGTTTAAGCCATTGCACCACCTTTTGCATTAATATTCAGGGATTATAGTCAAAGCTTTAAAGTGCTTTAGCCATATTTGCGAGTTAAGCATTGGAAGTGCAGATAAAAGGGGAATGAAGGGGAAACCGCTTAGAGTCGCCATTGGCTGATATTTGCGGTATACAAAAGGAGTAAATAAATAAATAAATGATAGCACCAGTGTGAGGACAGCAAACTCCATTTGCTTTCTTGCCAGTCTGTTGCCTTGAAGGGGGAGAGAGTGGTCAGTGAAATTTAGCCATATTCTCCAACTTGCCTTAACGCAAAGCCGGCTTTACCCTTCATTGTGCCTGGAAGTCCCTGGACGTCATCCCCTTCAGGCCATAGTGTGGATCAGGCCTGCACAACCTGTGGCCATCCAGGGGTTTGGACTTCCAACTCTCAGAAACCCCTCTTTCCAGCTTATCCAGTGGTCAGGAATTCTGGGAACTGCCGTCCAAAACAGCTGGAGGGCTGCAGGTTGAAGATGCCTGGTGTCAATGAATCCTTAATATTGCATAACAGCAGCCATATTAAATCGTTGAATTGTTGACATTGTGCTCCTCGTACAGTGTTTCTCAGCTTGGAGGTCGGGACCTCTGGGGAGGTTGCAAGGGGTTTTTATTTATTTATTTATTTATTTGCTGCATTTGTTGACCGCCGCTCTCAGCCCTAGGGCGACTCGCGGCGGGGTACAACATATAAAAACAGTTTACAATAAAGCACAACAAGAAATCAACATATCAATAATACACACTAATCTAAATTACACTAACTAATCCGCATCGTCACAACATAGAATCATAACCAATCTCATAGTCCATATTCCGTTCCAGTTGTCATTACCAGTTAATGTAGCACTCAGTTAAATGCCTTCTCAAATAGCCAGGTCTTTAGGCTCTTACGGAAAGCCATAAGGGAGGGCGCCTGTCTGATGTCAACAGGGAGGGTGTTCCACAGCCGGGGGGCCACCACCGAGAAGGCCCTCTCTCTCGTCCCCGCCAGACGTGCCTGTGAGGCAGGCGGGATCGAGAGAAGGGCCTCCCCAGACGATCTCAAGGCCCTCGTGGGCTCATAGGCCGAGATGCGGTCCGAAAGGTATTTTGGGCCGGAACCGTTTAGGGCTTTGTAGGATAACACCAGCACCTTAAATGGGCCCGGTAGCAGATCGGCAGCCAGTGGAGCTGGAACAACAAGGGCGTTGTGTGCTCCCTGCGTCCCGCTCCCGTTAGTAACATGGCTGCCGCGCGCTGGACTAGCTGGAGCTTCCGGGCCGTCTTCAAGGGCAGCCCCACGTAGAGAGCGTTGCAGTAGTCAAGGTGGGATGTGACCAGAGCGTGTACTACCGTGGCCAAGTCAGACTTCCCAAGGTACGGGCACAGCTAGAAGGGTTGTCAAAGACCATAAGAAAACATATATTTCTCTTAGGAACCCCTGTAGCAGAGAAGGCTGAAGATCTCTTCACCCGTCCTTCTCTTCCTTTTTGGAAACACATGGTTAATCTTCCCACCAAAAACCCTCCTCTGCCGTGACTCTCCGGCCTCTCAGCCAAGGAGCGGGCTGAGACTCCAAGTATGGAGGGAAGAGCAGGCGTGCTCCTTGGCGCATGGCAGCATAGTGCACATATGTGGACGAGGGAGAGCATGCGAGGCTGGAGGCAGGCTCGCACCAGCGGGTCCCTTCAAGCCATGGGGTTTCTGTGTGGGAAATTTAGCCCAATTCTATCGTTGGTGGGGTTCAGACTCCTCTTTGATTGTAGGTGAACTATAAATCCCAGCAACTACAAATGTCAAGGTCTATTTCCCCAAACTCCACCAGTGTTTACATTTGGACACATTGAGTATTCATGCCAAGTTTGGTCCTGATCCATCATTGTTTGAGTCCATAGTGCTCTCTGTATGTAGGTGAACTACAACTCCAAAACTCAAGGTCAGTGTCCACCAAACCCTTCCAGTATTTTCTGTTGGTCATGGGAATTCTATATGCCAAGTTTGGTTTGATTCCATTGTTGGTAGAGTTCAGAATGCTCTTTGATTGTAGGTGAACTATAAATCCCAGCAACTACAAACGTCAAGGTCTATTTCCCCCAAACTCCACCAGTGTTTACATTTGGGCACATTGAGTATTTGTGCCAAGTTTGGTTCTGCTCCATCATTGTCCATAGTGCTCTCTGGGTGTAGGTGAACTACAACTCCCAAACTCAAGGTCAATGCCCACCAAACCCTTCCAGTGTTTCTGTTGGTCATGGGAGTACCAAGTTTGTTTCAATTCCATCGTTGGTGGAGTTAATAATAATAATAATAATAATAATAATAATAATAATAAACTTTATTTGTACCCTGCTACCATCTCCCCTAGGGACACGGTGCAGCTTGCATGAGGCCAAGCCCAAAGTACATCAAACAAAACATCAATAAACAGTCAATAAAATACAAATCATATAAATCACATAAACAAAAAGCAATCAACAGTGACATAAACAATTTAAAAAATGGCCAGGCCAAATGTAGTTCAGAATGCTCATTGATTATAGGTGAACTGCAAAATCCCAGCAACTACAACTCCCAAATGACAAAATAAAACTCCCTGCCCCCAGCCCACCAGTATTCAAATTTAGGCATATTGGGTATTTGTGCCAAATTTGGTCCAGTGAATGAAAATACATCCTGCATATCAGATATTTACATTATGATTTATACCAATAGCAAAATTACAGTTATGAAGTAGCAATGAAAATAATGTTATTATGTATTGTCGAAGGCTTTCATGGCCGGAATCACTGGGTTGTTGTAGGTTTTTCCGGGCTATATGGCCATGTTCTAGAGGCATTTTCTCCTGACGTTTCGCCTGCATCTATGGCAAGCATCCTCAGAGGTAGTGAGGTTTGTTGGAAGTAGGAAAATGGGTTTATATATCTGTGGAAAGTCCAGGGTGGGACAAAGGACTTTTGTCTGCTGGAGCTAGGTGTGAATGTTTAAACTGACCACCTTGATTAGCATTTAATGGCTTGGAAGTGCCTGGGGGGAATCTTTTGTTGAGAGTGATTTGATGTGCCTGATTGTTTACTCTCTGTTGTTTTGCTGTTGTAATTTTAGAGTTTTTTAAGAACTCAGAAATGCTGGACCACTCTCACAACCACCATGTCAGACTACACAGAGAAGCCATTGAAATCCACAAGCATGTGAACAATTTCAACAGAAAGGAAGAAACCATGAAAATGAACAAAATCTGGCTACCAGCATTAAAAAATCTCAAAAATTACAACAGCAAAACAACAGAGAGTGAACAATCAGGCATCAAATCACTCTCAACATCAAATCACTCTCAACAAAAGATTCTCCCCAGGCACTTTCAAGCCATTAAATGCTAATCAAGGTGGTCAGTTGAAACATTCACACCTAGCTCCAGCAGACAAAAGTCCTTTGTCCCACCCTGGTCTTTCCACAGATATATAAAACCAATTTTCCTAGTTCCAACAGACCTCACTACCTCTGAGGATGCTTGCCATAGATGCAGGCGAAACGTCAGGAGAAAATGCCTCTAGAACATGGCCATATAGCCGGAAAAACCTACAACAACCCAATAATGTTATTGTTTGGGGGTCACCACAAAATGAACTGTATTAAGGGGTCGTGGCATTAGGAAGGTTGAGAACCACTGTCCTGGTACAATCCCTCCGTATATCCCTCAGTATATCCTAGTACTGTGTGTCAATGTTTACCCGACTGTCTCCTTTTCTGCTTAAACTTCAAGAGACTGCTTAGCCTTCCGAAATCCAATCATCCTCTCTTTTTTCTTCTTCTTCTTCCCCTGTGCAGACCCTGACTTCACATACCTAGGAGGTATTTTAAATCCCATTCCAGGTCTAGTATTGCAGTACTAATCTCTTTTGTTCATTACATTTTAAATCACTCCTGCCCTTGGTTTGACAGCGCATGGTGTCTGCCTTCCTCTCTAGATTGCCAATTTGAGCTCTCCGGAGCCGATGGGATCGTGCGGTCCAGTCAGGTAGAACAGGAAGAGAAAACAAAGCCTGGGCAAGCGGTGGACTGCATATGGACCATTAAAGCCACTCCAAACGCCAAGGTGAGGCTGCGGAATCGCTTTGTGTCTAATCGGTTTTCGGCTCATTAGTGGATGGGAACGGCTGGCCATTAGGAATCATTTGCATGCTGTATCTCATTCATTGAAATTAATTACCTGTTATTTGTTGGGAGTTGCGAGAAATCAAGATAGATGCTGGCTTCATAAACTGCCTTCGGTGCTCAATAATAGTGCGGCTATTTGTGACTACTGTGCATCATTCCACCAGATTTTTGTGGGGGTGGGTGGCTATTTTTTCATGAATTTATCTATCTATTTACCCCGGTGGCGCAGTGGGTTAAACCCCTGTGCTGGCAGGACTGAAGACTGACAAGTCGCAGGTTCGAATCCGGGGAGAGGCGGATGAGCTCCCTCTATCAGCTCCAGCTCCTCATGCGGGGACATGAGAGAAGCCTCCCACAAGGATGATAAAAAAACATTAAAAATAATAATCCAGGCGTCTCTTGGGCAACGTCCTTGCAGACGGCCAATTCTCTCACAACAGGAGTCACTCCTGACACGAAAAAATAAATAAATCTATTTATTTATTTATTTATTTCCTATATTTATACTCCGCCCTTCTCAGGGCAGCCTAACAAAAGCATCATACGATGCTAGCATCATAAAAACAACCACAGTACAATCAAAATATTAAAAATGTTGAAACAACAATTAAAACAATTAATTAAGACACATCCATTAAAATCGAAATCCAAAACCCAGTCCGGGTCAATTCATTGCCATAAGTTGTGTGATCTTCTATCACTTGCTGCTCACTGATCAAATGCTTGGTCCCATCACCAGGTCTTGATTTTCCTTCTAAAAGACAAGAGGGAGGTGGCCAATCTTATATCTCTAGGGAGGGTGTTCCATAGGCGGGGGGCCACTGCTGAGAAGGTCCTGTCTCTCATCCCCATCAACCATGTTTGCGATATTGTTGGGATCGAGAGCAGGGCCTCTCCTGAAGATCTTAAACTTCGTGATGGTTCATGGCAGGAGATATATTCGGACAGGTAGTCTGCGCCAGAATCGTTTATCTATCTATATAAATAAAAATGTAATGTTCGTTTGTGGGATTGACAAAACTCAAAAACCACTGGATGAATTGACACCAAATTTGGACACAACACACATATCAGGCCAACGAGTGTCCATCGCCCTTAAAAACACACATAAACACCAGAAGAACGGATTTTAACCCCCCCCCAAATAAAGTATATATACATATATACATACGTTCATACACATATACACATGCACACATACATACAGACACACATATATATACGTAAGCATACACAAATATACACATATACACACATACATATACACCTATATACATATACACTTCAAGAGACTGCTTAGCCTTCCGAAATCCAATCACATATAAACACACATATATGCATATACACAAGCACACACATTTACACAATATACATATACACATATAAACACAGAAATATACGCAAGCACACACAAATATACACATGTACACACATATAATATACACCTGTATTCATATACACATACATACACACATATAAACACACATATATGCATATACACAAGCACATACATATATACAATATACATATACACATATAAACACAGAAATATACATATACACATGCACACATACATACAGACACACACATATATATGCAAGCACACACAAATATACACATACAGTATACATGCACATACATATACACCTACACACATACATACACACATATATACATATAGACAAACACACACACATACACAATATACATATACACATATATAAACAAATATATACACACGTATACACACATATATACACACACATAAACACATATATACACATATACACAAATATATACACAGAAATAAACACATATACACAGACACAAAACACATATACACAGGCTGGGCCACAGCAAAGCATGGCAGGGGACGGCTAGTTTCATATAAGAATCATATTTAGGGACCTGTGGCATGTCAAAACATTTGAACGCCATCCTTTCGATTTGGCTTCAAACTCTGCTTTTCCCCTTCTCCATGTTAATATTCATTATGCATTAAATTAAGTGCCATAATAAAATGAATCTGTTCCTTAGTTTTAATGAAGGGTCAAACTTATTTTAGTTCTGCAGCCATTAAAATGTCTTCATTATGGGGAATGGCTGAAATACCTTAAAAGAGATCACATGCTGCCCAGAATATTAGAAATGGTTTATTAATCTTTCTATAGACACTTGACATATTTAATCCTTGATATATTATTTGTAAGTCTAATAAAAGTAATTTAAGTTAATTAGTGCCTAAACAAAATAGTATATGAAATTAAATGCCAATGGGAAAATTATATCGTATATACTCGAGTATAAGCCGACCTGAATATAAACCGAGGCACCTAATTTTACCACAAAAAAAAAACTGGGAAAACTTATTGACTCGAGTAAAAGCCGAAGGTGGGAAATGCAGCAGTTACTCATAAATTTCAAAATAAAAATAGATACCAATAAAATTGCATTAATTGAGGTATCCGTAGGTTAAATGTTTATGGATGAGGCCCAAGCCGTTTTGTTTTCTTAAGGACTTTAAGAACTGCTGGTGTCAAAAATTTTGACTGAGCAGTTTTGATGTGAATGTCAGTTTGAATGGCTTGTTGCTATTTTAGTTTATTGTGCTGGTATTTAATTATTCAGTTGCATATTTATTAACATCCAGCCTCTTCTCCAATATGGGACCCAAGACTACTTATTCTGTTGCAAGCTACAACTAAAATAATAAATAATATAGTGTTCCCTCACTTATCACGGGTGTTATGTTCCAGGATCACCCACGAAAAGTGAAAATCCATGAAGTAGAGATGCCATATATATATATATTTATTTCAGAGGGTGAGGCAGAAGCGAGGATAGATTTATAGGCACCATACACTTTTTTTTTGCTAGCTATAAGGAAGGGGCTGTAAGGCTGTGATCTGCATACTGCTTTGTATTTATTTATTTATTTATTTCGGTTACTTCTACCCCGCCCTTCTCACCCCGGAGGGGACTCAGGGCAGCTTACAAAAGCAAGGCACAATTCGATGCCCGCATCACATAACAGCAATAAGACAAATAACATCAATTAACAGAAAACAGCAATTCTAGCAATAACATCAATTAACAGAAAACAATAATTATTATAAGGCAAAACCAACCATAAAACCAATAAAAGCCATAAAACCAATACAAACCATTTCTCCTCATTGACGGTCAGCATTTCGCAATCTCATAGTTCAAATTCCAATTCCACAATTGTCAGTCCTTTCAGTCCTATCCATCTGGTTGTCCATATCTAGTTGTCAGATTGTCCAAAGGCCTGGTCCCACAACCGTGTCTTTACCTTCCTCCTGAAGGAGAGGAGCGATGTTGATGCCCTAATTTCCCCCGGGAGTGAGTTCCACAGGTGAGGGGCCACCACTGAGAAGGCCCTGCTCCTCGTCCCCATCAGCCTCACTTGTGATAGCTGTGGGGTCGAGAGCAGGGCCTCCCCAGATGATCTCAAATTCCGGGGTGGGACATAGAGGGAGATACGTTCGGACAGATACACTGGACCGGAACCGTAAAGGGTTTTGTAGGTCAAAACCAGCACCTTGAATTGTGCTCGGAACTGAATCGGCAGCCAGTGGAGCTGACACAACAGCGGGGTGGTGTGCTCCCTGTATGTCGCTCCGGTGAGCAATCTGGCTGCCGCTCGCTGGACCAGTTGAAGTTTCTGAACAGTCTTCAAGGGCAACCCCAAGTAGAGTGCGTTGCAGTAGTCTATTCGGGATGTAACAAGAGCGTGGACCACTGTGGCCAGATCAGACTTCCCATGGTATGGGCGCAACTTTCTCCTTTCTCTTTTTTATGATTGGCTGCCTCTCTCCTGAGGGGGAGGGTGAAACCCCTTTCCACACTCCATCATTGCCAGGAGGCAAAAACCCACAAAACAGCGAGTCCGCAAAAAGCGAACTGCGAAGTAGCGAGGGAACAGTGTACAAGGATTTAAAAAAAAACTAAGCAATTATATTAAAATTCACCCAAAAGACATTTTTAATATAAAGTAAAAAAGATCAAGTAAAAAGCCTATCATACCCCATCATACCACGAGGGGAGGGGAGCCAAGGAGTAGCTTCCGTCACCCTGGCAATCCCGGTCCACCGCTCTCGAGTAACAGCAAAGGTGCAGCAGTAGCCTCTGCTTATCGCCATGTGCTCCTCTCATGTCCTTCTTCTTGCTATGTGTGCCTCCCTTGTCCTGTTACCGCGTGAGCAAGTGCCTCCCTCTTCTCACTGCATGCACGTCTCCCTCCCCTTGTCACCGCATGCACCTCCCTCCCTCTCCGGAGAAGGGAGGTGCTTGTGCTCACAGAAACAGGACGAGGGAGGCACACGCATGCTGAGAAGAGGAAGGCAAGAGGGGCACATGCGGCGAGGAAAGGAGGGTGCTGCGTGGCTACACCTTGAAGATAGTGGCTACTCGTCGTATCCCAACAGCCCGCGACAGTATGATGGGATATGATGGGCTTTTTTCTTTAATTTTTTTACTTTACATTTAAAATGTCTTTTAGATGAATTTTAATAGAATTGTTTAGTTATTTTTTATTTTAAAAAATCCTTGTATTATATATTATTTTAATTGACTCTGGAATGTTGTTTCCCTCTTTTTAAAATTCTTTTCCCTCGGCTTCTAATGCAATCTCTCCTTTCCTTCCATTGCAAGTTTCTGTCACGTTGCCAGGGCTCTGCCGTTCTTTAGGTAGAGATGAACCAAACAAATACCAGTTTGTATCAAGCAGTTTAATTAAAACAGCACTTACTTTCTGGCTGTTTTAATAATAGTCCAAAATATAAAAACATAAAGATTGCACTCAGTCACAGAATATAAAACAAAAACAGCAAACACTGTTGTAGGTTCAAGATAACTCCGTAGTCAAAAGGTCCAGTCCAGTGGTCAAAACGCTGAGAGTTCCATAAAGAAAGTCCAGGGATCAAGAGTCCATACCAGGGGTCCTCAAACTAAGGCCAGATGCGACCCTCCAAGGTCATTTACCTGGCCCTTGCCCAGGGTCAACCTAAGTCTGTAACGACTTGAAAGCACACAACAGCAACAACAACAATCCTATCACATCAGCCAAAAGCAGGCCCACACTTCCCATTGAAATACTAATAAATTTATATTTGTTAAAATTGTTCTTCATTTTAATTATTATATTGTTTTTAAGTGGTTTTTGCACTACAAATAAGATACGTGCAGTGTGCATAGGAATTCATTTATGTTTTTTTCAAATTATAATCCGGCCTTCCAACAGTTTGAGGGACTGTGACCTGGCCCTCTGTTTGAAAAGATTGAGGACCCCTGGTCCATACCGTGGTCAAAAACCAGTCCAAAGATTCAAGGTCCCAGGATTCCAAAGGTTTGGGAGACAAGTCAGGACACCGAAAATCCACAAACCTGGGGAAAAACCAGCAGCATCTACCACCAAGATAAAACAACTACTTCTCTCCCAAAGATCAGTCCCAAGACTAGCTCCTTATATCCAGAAACACCCAGCTGCAATCTATCTCTTGCATACCTCCACCCTTAATTGCTTTCATCTATGAACTCTTACTTACAGATTACTCAACCCTTTAGAACTAAGACTTACATTAACCCTTCCATCACCAACTGCTAGGCCTACCACCACCAACCACAAACAACTGCAGAACATGATACATGACAATTAGAAGCAGGCCGTGGAATGCTGGGTTGCTGTGCGGAGAGGCGCGAGTCCTGGCAGGAACACATAGGGCTTAAAGAAGGGCTTCTTTCAGCCTCACGCCTTCCCACCAGGACTCTCACTCGAATATAAGTCCAAGGGGCCTTTTTCACCTTAAACGGGGGGCTGAAAAACTCATCTTATACTCGAGTATATACAATATTTATATCAAGAACAGATTCCAATACAGTGTATTTAACAGGAGACACCTCACATAATTTGGTGCTTTTATAGTTTACTTTAGTTTTCTAATTCAGGACTGTATTCCGCTGCTGCTGTTCTGGGTTGCTATTGATTTCGAGTATTAATTTCTAAGAGTGGCCTACACATTTGTTTTCTGTGGAGTGTGACATAAAGAAGATCGTAAACAATAAAATCGGAGTAAATTCAAGTTGCAACAAGCATCGACGGCGTTGGTTTCCTTAACAATAGCTGTTCACAAAATAATGTTTGGGTATAACACAGATGTCTTCGCACCGATAAGGCGATTTAATTTAGATAGTGCCACAATAAGTACTTGAAATAAAGACTTTGAATACTTACGTTCGTGCTCATGTTGTTGTCAACTAGAGCAATAACCTTTCCTTCCAAAGCTTGCTTCCTTTGTTCAAAAATGAACCCTTTTCAGGTTCTGGGATGTTGAATCTCATGAACATTGCCATTTCTGGTATTTTGTATCCATTTCTCCTTTAATGCAGTGACTGGCTTGTTTGACTTATATACAATACAGTAGCCATTGCTGGCAGCTTTGGGAAATACAGGTTTACCAGAGCGAGACATAGTTACAGTTTGCATAAAAGTTTGCATCTTTTTAGGCATTATTTAGTGTTGTTGTTGTTGTTGTTGTTGTTGTCTCTTTTGTTTGCATACTTCGGTGTTGCAATTTTAATCAAAATATTATTTTGGAAATGTGTGAAACAGAAAACATAAAGAACCAATGTTGCCATACAAGCAAATAAATTGTATAACTTCCATTTTTGCTACTCAAATTATAGCACCTCGGGAATAAAGATTTGAGGTTTACATGAATTTTAACTTCTTCTTTGTGCATAAAAGAATGGAATTGGAGAGTTAGTGACAGCAACATACAATTGTTTATTTATTTCGTGTCAAAAGCATAAGTATAAAACTGATACAAATCGAAGGAGCGCATCAGCTAAATAATTTTTGAACAAAACCGGGCAACAGCAACTGCATTGTCTGTAGCTTTAAGCAATTCTTCCTCTGTGCATGAGGCAGGGCATTGTGAACATGCATAGAGGTGCAGGGTTGTTTGTTCTGCTCCACAGTTGCGCAAGGTGTGGGATTCTTTTAGGTAGTGCCATTTTGCCAGGTTGTCTTTTGATCCTGCGGAGACCAAAATCCACTGATTGTGGTAATGTGAAAGTAACTAAATTAATTAAATGTATATATTACAAATACACATATCAAAAAACAGGACTGCCCCATTCACATTGAGTAGAAACAACTAGTTCTTTTCTTGAAGTATAAAGCAAAGTCTTTGTATTAGTAAATGTCCTGTTCCTTATTACATATGAGTAGACTCCAGTAGTATGAGTTGAGTCCAACCTGCAACCGGTTTCTTCCTCTATGCATGAGGCAGGGCATTGTGGACATGCATACAGGTGCAGAGTTGTTTGTTCTGCTCCACAGTTGCGCAGGGTGTGGGATTCTTTTAGGTAGTGCCATTTTGTCAGGTTGTCTTTTGATCCTCTCACTCCACTTCTGAGTCTGTTCAGGGACTTCCAAGTTGCCCATTCTTGTTTTGCGCCTGGAGGAAGACCCTTGTGGGAGACCATCCAAATGGGATTTCCTGATGCCCAGAGAGATGCTCTTGCTGTTGCTGGGGGAACATTAAGAGGAGGAGTAGTTCTCATGAAGCTTTTCCTTGATTTGAGTCTACTAGTAAGAGGCTGATGACCATGCAGTAGATGGTTTTCACAGTGTTCAACCTTATTTCTCTCACAGTTAGCAGCAACTTCCCATTGTACATTTGTGTGTGTGGGGGGGGGGGGGATGCCAGCTAACTTGTAGAGTCTATCCACATATGTAGGTTTGAGGGATCCTATGATTATTCTGCACATTTCGTTCTGTGTCATGTTCACCTGCTTTGCGTGATCAGACTTATGCCAAACAGGGCAGGCATATTCGGCATTTGAGTAAGACAAGACCAGGGTTGATGTTCTTATTAATTTTGGGACCAAAAAGTGTCCCTTTCCGCAGAAGATATAATTTCAGTAAAGCAAAGTTTACAGAGAACTTTCTGATATAGAACGTTCTAGGATGGTTGAATGAAAAGTAATGCCTCCACCTTTGTTACTTAGCTTTGGATGGGAATATTTTAATAAATTGTATGCAGAAATAATCCTTAGAATGTGCTCTTTAACTACCACTATCCACTTTTCCACATAATCACCAGACAATTGGATACATTTCTGCCAATGATGAACAAGTTTTCTGAAGCTGTCACGGAAGAAGTTGACACTCTGTTTCCTGGGTACCCTCGTGCACAGATCTTCCGATAGCCAAGCAAAGCAATAATGTGACCCACACGTTCTTGTGAAATGCTGATTATGCTTGAAATTTCTCTCTGAGTGATATGACGATCGTCCTGAATTAATATGTCAATGTTTTGCTTGTGAAACTCGGTGGTTGCTCTCACAGGACATCCAACTCTTTGTTGTCACGCAAGTCAGATGTTCCCACCTCAACATCTTTAAACTTACTCACCCAACGATGCACAGTACTCACATCAACACAATCACCATAAACAGTTTGCATTCTCCGATTAATTTCCTTTTGCGTGGAACCTTCTGCTGTCAAGAATTCAATGACATGTTGCTTAAGTTGCATTGATCGGCCGTCTGCGCAGGGTTCCATACTTTACACTTTAACAACACAACCGTTCAATGCTAAGGCTTCCCGCCAAAATGGAACTGTAGAGGAGAGTCTACTGAACAAGCCAGTACCTGCCGCACACCAGTCCTGCCATCTGTTGAGGAGTTACAAAGGTGGAGGCATTACTTTTCATTCAACCCTCGTATAGAAGGCTATGACCTGTTTGTAGAAGCTGTGAAAAGATCCTTTTGAGGCTCTCAATCCCTAGAGGCTGTCGCACAAGCTGTGTACCAGGCCTAAATGAAGAATCGCTAAATCAGCTACAGGAATGTCTCATACTATTTCAAGAGAGAATCCATACATTGATGAGACTATAACAGCAGGCCAAAATTTATCTATCTACAGCCATAGCTAATGCTAAGAAACACTGCTGGATAGAGCTGCTTGAGAATATTGACATGTCCAAGATTAGCCAAAGAGCCTGGCAATTGCTGAGATGCGTGGCTAGGGACCCTCTGGTCAACTGTGGCATGCAAACGTAACACCAGACCAGCTAATTCAGAATGGGAAAACCAACTGTAGCAGAGTAAAGGTGAAAATCATCAGGGTGCCAGAACTTGAAACCCACTAGTTGTCATCTCCCCAGACCTGAAAGAACTCAGAGAAGCTATTAAGCAATGTAAAACTGGTAAAGCACCTGGCCTAGATGACTTAATGATGGAGCAAATCAAACACTTGGGCCCCAAAGATGAAAACTGGCTTTTGAAATTCTACAATCAGTGCTTGGCACACAAACAGATCCCCAGACTATGGAGGAAGTCTAGGATCATTGCTGTTTTAAAACCTGGTAAAGATGCCTTCAGTGCCAGGAACTACCGATCAATCTTTCTCTTATATCATCTATAGAGATATCTTATTAGTTTGTTGGTTTGTTTGGGGATATTGGTATTGGAAGACAATGCATTCTTGACTTTATGTTGTTTAATCATTAGTTCACTTCTTTTGCTCAAGGTTTTATTTCTTTTCCCACACCAAACAGATCTATTTAAGATTTCTCGACTACCAAATGGAACATTCCAATGAATGCAAGAGGAACTTTGTTGCTGTGTATGATGGAAGCAGCTCCATCGAAAACTTGAAAGCAAAGTTTTGCAGCACAGTCGCAAATGATGTTATGCTACAGACCGGGACTGGAGTGGTGCGGATGTGGGCGGATGAAGGCAGTAGGTTAAGCAGATTCAGAATGCTCTTTACTTCATTCGTGGATCGTAAGTATATTATCGTTGTTTATATATATAGCATCATTCACGTGTATAGACACAGGGGAAGGAAGGAGTAATGCAAATATAAAACTATGCAAGCTGTTGTAAAACTAATCCAGATACACTACTAAAAATGCAATGTGATATTAAGCAATCTGGAAAAAATATATAGTGAAAATATAAGAGATAATAAACAATATTAAAATTCCAAAAGCTTAGAACTACACTATGTAACAAAGTTTTGAAAAAAAATGTATCCTCCTACATTCAGTGTGTTATTATTCCTATTTAATTGTGCAGTACTTACTTTGAAAGTAGTTGGTTTACTCCAGAAACTTCATTTTTTGTGGCTGTCACAAACTATGTTGATTTGGTTGAGACTCAATGAGATATTCACTGAAAAACTAGAGCAAAAGTGCTGCAGGATTTCCCGCAAAAAACAATGTTTTTACAGTTTAATAAACTTTTCCCATGTTGTTATGATATAATTAGGAAATGACATTTATAACCCAGGAACAAAAATCATGTTACATAGTGTTATTGGACCTTCTTGCCATGGAGGTTGAATTTAGACTAGGGCCACGGATATAGAGGGTCCTTGCCTGGCAAGCATTATGCTAACAGCCCAATGTTTCAGATTAAAGAACTCACTCAACCCCTGTGCCAGCAGATCTGGGGAGAGCATGGATGAGCTCCCTCTATCAGCTCCAGTCCCTAATGTGGGGACATGAGAGAAGTCTCCCACCCGGCCCTTTAGGGGAGGAGTATGCTCCAAATGCACTGCTTCCAAGCTGCAAGCTTGCTTCTCCTTGGATTTCTTTGAAAGCATCCCAAGCTGTACATATTTCCTATTCCTGGATTGCAACTCCCAGCAATCCTCCAGATAGATAAGGTATATAGATTAGATAGAGATAGATAGTAGGTAGATAGATCAATCAGGAGGATTTCTGGGAGTTGCAGTCCAAGAATAGGTAGAGAAGGAAGAAAAAGAAAAACAGACGGGGAGGAAGAAAAGAGGTAGAGAAGGAAGGAAGGAAGGAAGGAAGGAAGGAAGGAAGGAAGGAAGGAAGGAAGGAGAGCAGGAAAGAAAAAAGGGAAGGAAGGAAAGAGGGAGGGAGGGGGAAGGAAGGAGATAAAGAAAGGAGAGAAATAATAATAATAATAATCATCATCATCATCTGTATTTATACACTGCCACCATCTCCCCAAAGGGGATTCGGGGCGACTTACATGAGGCCGAGCCCAGAAATACAATGACAACAAAATACAATAAAATAAAACCAAACAACAAAACTAATATCACAATAAGATAAATAAAGCATAGGAATACAATAAAAACATATGGAGGGCTGATTGGGGTAAATTGTAGGGGTGATAATGAAATATGATGTATATACTCAGCTTGATCAGTTTATCAGTTCTTTCATGTCTTATCATATTTATTTACTGTATTGTTATAAGTGTCTTATTTTAACTTACTACGTGGAGTGTGATCAGGTCTTGTCAGGCCTTGTTGTTCTGTTTCTTATTGTGATATGGCCTAAGGGCTAATCAATAAAATTACTACATCACTACTACAATAAAAACAAAACAAAATGAAACAAAACAAAATAATGCAATGAGAAAGAGGGAAGGAAGGTTGGCCACAGCAACACGTGGCAGATACAGCTAGTCTATATATATAAAAAGAGAAAGGGCGTCCAACAAGACAGCAAAACTAAAAAAAAACCTGAAGAAAAGTTACCAAATTTACCATGCACATACCGCAACCCACAAGATATGCACAAACCAATTCAAAATTCTAAACAACATTTCAACACACTCACAATAACAAAAACCAACTAAGCATGCACAAAGCCGCCCCGCCGCAAGTCCCCGGCGCGCGCACATGGCCGGCCGGCCAACGCACCCTCTGCGCAAGCCACGCCCCCATCCTCCGTCGCCCAGCCCCTACCCTCCCATACGCCCTCTTTCCAACGCACCCTCCTCTTTCTTCCCCTGCCCAGGAGAGAAGGAGGAAGAGAAGGAGGGAGAGAAAGAGGGAAGGAGAGAAGGAAGGAAAGAAAAGGGTAGAGAAGGAAGGAAGGAGAGAAGGAGGGAAAGRAGGAGGGAAGGAGATAAAGAAGGAAAGAAAGAAGAGTAGAGAAGGAAGGAARGARRGAGARGAGGGAGAGAATGAARTAAAMAAAAGKGAAAGRSGGGAGGAAGGAGAGAAGGAACRAAAGAGAGAAAGAGGGAGGGARGDAARGAAAGAGACAASRMAGGRTGGAACCAAASADCAAARGWRGTGAGRARMKMARCATGTAGRGAAGGAAGRAAGAAGAAGGGAAAGAMAAAGAAAGAAAAAGAGGGAAGGAAKGAAAGAGGGAGGGAAGGAAAGATAGGAAAAAAGGAGAGAAAGAGGGAGGGAAGGTTGGCCACAGCAACACATGGCGGATACAGCTAGTGCGTTGTAAAATACGACAAAACTGTATTAAACTTGACCAGTATTTTCATATTTTCTTGTTTTGAACCTGCACGGAATGGAAAACAGCTTTTGGTTTAAACTGGGGCTGTGTTAGCATATAACTCCAGACCAGATGAAAAAACCTCAACCTATGATCTCAGAGAGGTAGGGAGATTTGAGCACCAGCTATACTGCCATATAATGTAGGTGGAAACTGCATTATATGGTAAGCGTAGACTTCATATGAATCTGCACATCATATGAATCTGCACTAACCATATAATGCAGTTTCAAACAGTGTAGATGGGGCCCTCAGTCAGCTGTAAGACTCGTCAACTCCCAATTCCAAATGAGATCAGAAGATAGAATTGAAGCTTGCAATGCATCACTATACTATAGGCTATACTATGCTGTAGGATGTATTATACTGTGTGCTAAAGAAAAGTTGCTTTCCCCTGCATTTGAGAAGTTCTGTATCCATACTTCAGTCATAACCTCTGGCTGAATAATTAATGTGGCTTTCAGGATGGAGGAGGAAGCTGGATTAATTTTTTAAACAGATCAGACATTTTAAAATTGGAAGACATTCTCGAACGACGGGCCATTTTGATCCAAATCAGCTCGGCTCTTCCTAGAAACAGACAATTAAGGGCAGCTTGAAATAGCGAGAATTATAATTAAACTTCAAACGGCATTAACGTGCTCTGATCAGCTGGTGCCCTTATAATCAGATTAGTGTGCTTTAAATCACAATATATAACTCGGCACGAATTGCAATAATTTAACATATATTGCGCCTTCCTTTTAAAACACTGGTCATTTAAATAACTGAAAATTGTACAAAACAACCCTTACCAACAGCATAAAAGTAAAGGTAAAGGTTTCCCTGACATTAAGTCTAGTTATGTCCAACTCTGGGTGGGTGGTGGTGCTCATCTCCATTTCTAAGCCAAAGAGCCGGTGTTGTCCATAGACACCTCCAAGGTCACGTGACAGGCATGACTGCAGGAAAAACAGTTACCTTCTCACCAAAGCGGTACCTATTATCTACTCACATTTGCATGTTTTTGAACTGCTAGGTTGGCAGAAGCTGGGGCTAACAGCAAGAGCTCACCCTGCTCTCCGGATTTGAACTGCTGACCTTTCAGTCAGCAAGTTCAGCAAGTCAGTGTTTAACCTGCTGCACCACCAGGGCATAGCTGATAAAAAGACTGTTATTTTTAATACTATTGTCAAGGAAGTAGGCAGGGCAGGTTGTTAGCCACAACCATAGGAATCGATTGCTGTGAGTTTTCCGGGCTGTATGGCCATGTTCCAGAAGCATTCTCTCCTGACGTTCTGCTCACATCTATAGCAGGCATCCTCAGAGGTTGCAAGGTCTGTTGGAAACTGGGCAAGTGGGGTTTATATATCTATGGGATGTCCAGAGATGTCTTGTCTGCTGGAAGCAAGTGTGAATGTTGCAATTGGCCACCTTGATCAGCAAAACCATTCAATCCTAATTTGTACCCATTTCTCCTTTAATGCAGAGACTGGCTTGTTTGATTTACATACAATACAGTAGCCATTGCTGGCAGCTTTGGGCAATACAGGTTTTCCGGAGTGAGACATAGTTACAGTTTGCATAAAACTTTGCACCCTTTTTGGCATTATTTAGTGTTGTTGTTGTCTCTTTTGTTTGCATACTTTAGTGTGGCACTTTTAATCAAAATATTATTTTGGAAATCCATGAAGCAGAAAACATTAAGAACCAATGTTGCCATACATACAAATGGGTTGTATAACTTCCATTTTTGCTACACGAATTATAGCACCTTGGCAATGAAGATTTGAGGTTTACATGAATTTTAACTTCTCCTTTGTGCACAAGGGAATGAAATTGGAGAGTTTGTGATAGCAACATTTCTATGCCCAGAATAATAATAATAATAATAATAATAATAATAATAATAATAATCTTTCAGTTCTTGTGGGTTTTTTCGGGCTATATGGTAGGGCGGTTTCGTTCGTTAATTTCGTAATCCGTTATTAATTCGTATTTAAATTAGCTTACGATCCGATATTGAGCCATGCAGGAATAGTGTGAGGAGTAAATTAGATTCGAAACAATTTTTTCAATTTATTTCGTAATTATTTTGTTATTATTTCGAAATTATTTCGTAATTTTTTCGTAATTTTTTCGTAATTATTTTCACATGTCTGGTGCAAGTTTTACAGTTGTTGTTTGTTTTATCACACCAACAGTCAACAACAGAGGGAGAGGGAAGCTTCAGAAGTTCCCCCTGTCCCATTTGGAGGTTTTTTTTTAGCATATTGCGCAATCGCGTCCGCCATTAACGAATTAATTCGAAATTAACAAAATTTCGTAAATAACGAAACTTTGAAAACTCAAAATTTCGGAAGTATTTAGAATTTGGAAACGCTAGCGCTCCCTGGAAACGAATCGAGTTTAGAAACAAATTTTTCCGTGGTTACCCAGCCCTACTATATGGCCATGTTCTAGAGGCATTTCTCCTGACGTTTCGCCTGCATCTATGGCAAGCATCCTCAGAGGAGATGCAGGCGAACCGTCAGGAGAAATGCCTCTAAAACATGGCCATATAGCCCGAAAAAACCCACAAGAACTAAGTGATTCCAGCCATGAAAGCCTTCGACAATAATAATCTTTATTTATACCCCGCCACCATCTCCCCCAATGGGGACTCGGGGCGGCTTACATGAGGCCAAGTCCAAACAACAAATTACAATGAAATAAAATAAAATCCAAAACGCAAACGGCAACACAGTAAAATACAAAAACATATGAATACAATAAGCAATGTACACAAAACATAAGAATGCAGTGAACAATCACAATGACAGTGAGTGGGCCGCATGTACAATAAAATGATTAAAAACTCAGGGTGAGATATTTGCAAGGGAGAACTCATAGAGAAAACTGGGTAGTAAACAGGCCTTCGTACAAAGGGGAGGTGTACTCCTAGGACAACAACGTTGGGGGAGCAATAGCATAAAGTTGTATGACTACTCTCCAAAATATAATATACATGTTTATTGGTTTGCTGGTTTGCCATAGATGTGGGCTAAACGTCAGGAGAGAATGCTTCTGGAACATGGCCATACAGCCCGGAAAACTCACAGCAACCCAGTGATTCCGGCCATGAAAGCCTTCAACAATACAAGCCATAGAAATATTTTGAATGTGTTGCTATATCGTCTATGGTTATAGATGTGGTAACCCAGACCTTTCCCCCCATTTGCTCCTCCATAGCTCCCTGCTCGGGCGGCACTTACTTTTGCCATAGCAACATGTGCATCAATAATTCTCTGGTCTGCAACGGCATTCAAAACTGTGCATATCCTTGGGATGAAAACCACTGCAAAGGTGAGTAGACCAAACCTTGAACCTATAAGCGAGTTGGGACTCGCTTATAGATCTGATTTTCCTATATGAACTAAGGCTAGTAGTGGTCAATGTTGTCAGGCTAAAAGATTGTGAAGAACATCATACATTTTCCTTTGTTATGGGAAAATTTTCTTTCTCACATTTTAGAAAGCAATGCATAGTATTTATTTACAATATTTATAGCCCGCCTTTCTCAGCCATACGGCGACTCAAGGCGGGTTACAGATTGGCACAATTCAATGTCAGGCGTTCATAAGAGTGCCATTAAAAACAATCAACATTACAATATAAAACATAAATAAACACTGTTAAAGCATATAATCTTCTGTGTCATCTTGTTAAAAACGTTATCCAGTAACATCATCTGGCCATTCCATGTTCATCATTCATAGTTCCGTATTATCTATTCCTCTGCATTCTCAAAAGCTTGCTCAAAGAACCAGGTCTTTACTTTTTTTCAGAAAGTTAAGAAGGAGGGGAGGGATCTAATATCCCTGGGGAGGAAGTTTCATAGCCAAGGGGCCACCACTGAGAAGGCCCTGTCCTTCATCTCTGCCAATTGCACTTGCGAGGCAGGCGAGATCGAGAGCAGGGCCTCCCGAGATGTAGTAGTTATGGATCCAATTGCTGTCTCCTCTTTTTTAATTCGTGCTTTTGTACCATTTTGTTCATTCGGAATGCATGAAATTTCATACCATTTTGATCATTCGGAATGTGGAATTTCCCTCTGGCATGGAAATATCAGTGAAATGAAAGGAAAGGAACGTGGGAACGGTAACTGTTTGGTCGCCTGATTTTCAGCACTCAGCTGTATGCCCTGGCAGGCCCTCTTACTTGGCATACAGCGCACTTGGATATAAGCTCTAGCAGGGCCTACAGACAAATGCTGAGTGTTACTTCGGTGCCTGGCGCACTCGGATGTAGTCCCTGGCAAGCCATACATCTCTTATTCTATAAGCCCTGGCAAGCTGTACACCTCTTATTCTATAAGCCCTGGCAAGCATTGGCGCTTTGCCACCAATGGGCTGAAAATATTCATTTTTTTCAGACCTTGGATGAAAAACCTCATTTGGAAAGGAGTCCCCAATGGCACAGTGGGTTAAACCCCTGTGCTGGCAGGACTGATGACCAACAGGTTGCAGGTTCGAATCCGGTGAGAGTGCAGATGAGCTCCCTCTGTCAGCTCCAGCTCCCCATGCGAGGACATGAGAGAAGCCTCCCACAAGGATGGCAAAACATCAAAAACATCAGTGCGCCCCCTGGGCAATGTCCTTGCAGACGGCCAATTCTCTCACACCAGAAGTGACTTGCAGTTTCTCAAGTCACTCCTGACATGACAAAAAAATGGGAAAGGTGCCCATTTTTGGATAAAGTGCTCAAATGAAACAAACCAGAATGGATAGTGATTCTGTGCAAATGCACAAGACTAATGTATAGGTTAAACTTGCAATGTGTCAGGCTTCTATTTTGACCATCTGTCTGTTGTGTTACATGCTATGTTTCTTCACCTTTGAGTTCCTTTTCTTTTAATTTTTAAAGGTATGCTTTTACGATGCAGCTCTCTACTTCTCTGGTCATGGTTTTCTGTTTTATAACTTTTCAAAAATAGATTGGTTCATTAAAAATGAGCTTTTCAAGTGGGCCTCTGCCTCCCTAGCATTCGTCCTGTCTAGTCTGAAGAGTCTTTTATTTCACTTACCTGGTTTCTTTTCATTGATGAGATGTCCTATTGCTGAAGCTCCCAGCATGAAATACTTACGTAATACAATAAAACAAATAAACATTGATTTAAAATGTACTTTAAAAGAAGCAGTAAAAAAAGATGTTTGAAAACAGAAAGAGAAATATTCGAGGCACTCAAACAACAACACTTTTAAAGCCAACCTTAGAGAATTTAATGCAGTGCCTAGAACTATATCGATCCATCTTCCCAGTTTTTTTAGAAGAAACAAGGGGAAAAAATTCCATTCACATTTTAGTTATAGATATGGGCTTATCCAGGAGATAATAGTGTAACTGTTTCCCTTTGGAAAGACTTTTTAAAACATCATACTCATGATTCTTGTAGACTAAAGCAATAACCTTTTCTTCCAAAGCTACCTTCCGTTTGCCCTTTGAGGTCACAAAGCATTAGATATATTGCTCTAATCTAGTAGTGCCATCTTGTGTGCTTTCATGTGAAGTGCTCAGATTTAATCATTCTTGTCAAACACTGTTAGCTTTTAAGTGCATGGAGGGTGGCACATCTCTTCTCTTAACCAGCAGGCAAAACAAGTATAATTTAGCCCGGTCTGCTTTAAAGCCCTAAATGGCTCGGGTCCAGGCTATTTGACCGATCGTATCTCCTCTTACAAACCAGCCCAGGCACTGCAGTCATTGGAGGAGGTCCTTCTCTCAGTCCCACCCCCATCCCAAGCACAACTGGTTTTTATTTGTCATGTCAGGAAGACCAGTCAAATTATATTACATTTCTAACAGAACAAAGCAAACAAACAGACAAAATACAAAATGTGCGTTTGGTAGTTGATTAAATGTCCTTTGACCAGTATCTGGCCACTTGGAGTGCTTCTGGTGTTGCTGCAAGAAGGTCCTCCATTGTGCATGTGGCAGGGCTCAGGTTGCATTGCAGCAGGTGGTCAGTGGTTTGCTCTTCTCCACACTCGCATGTCGAGGATTCCACTTTGTAGCCCCATTTCTTAAGGTTGGCTCTGCATCTCGTGGTGCCAGAGCGCAGTCTGTTCAGTGCCTTCCAAGTCGCCCAGTCTTCTGTGTGCCCAGGGGGGAGTCTCTCATTTGGTATCAGCCATTGATTGAGGTTCTGGGTTTGAGCCTGCCACTTTTGGACTCTCGCTTGCTGAGGTGTTCCAGCGAGTGTCTCTGTAGATCTTAGAAAACTATTTCTTGATTCAAGTCGTTGATGTGCTGGCTGATACCCAAACAAGGGATGAGCTGGAGATGTATCTGCCTTGGTCCTTTCACTATTGGCTGCTACTTCCCGGTGGATGTCAGGTGGTGCAATACCGGCTAAGCAGTGTAATTTCTCCAGTGGTGTAGGGCACAGACACCCCGTTATAATGCGGCATGTCTCATTAAGAGCCATATCCACTGTTTTAGCATGGTGAGATGTGTTCCACACTGGGCATGCATACTCAGCAGCAGAGTAGCATAGCTGAAGGGCAGATGTCTTCACTGTGTCTGGTTGTGATCCCTAGGTTGTGCCAGTCAGCTTTTGTATGATATTGTTTCTAGCGCCCACTTTTTGCTTGATATTCAGGCAGTGCTTCTTGTAGATCAGAGCACGGTCCAGAGTGACTCCCAGGTATTTGGGTGTGCTGCAATGCTCCAGTGGGATTCCTTCCCACAACAAGATGTGTCGACAGCAGACACTCTGCTGGCTGTTGAATTAGATCACACGTCGGACACTTCCCAAGTGTCTAGGACTGTGAGATGTATTGGCGAATAATGCGTGCAGATCCCAGTAAGGTGGCCTTCTGCAGCTGGCAGATGGTAATTTTGTCAGCGCCAATTGCGTTTAAGTGCAGGCCAAGGACTTAAGGCACTGCACCCAGTGTGCCAATCACCACTGGGACCACCTTGACTGACTTGTGCCAGAGTCTTTGCAGTTCGATTTTTAAATCCTCATATCGTGTCAGCTTTTCCTGTTGTTTCTCTACAATCCTGCTGTCACCTGGGATTGTGACATCGATCATCCATACTTTGTTTTTTAAAACGATTGTGAGGTCAGGAGTATTCTGCTCCAAAACTCTGTCTGTCTGAATCCAGAAGTCCCAGAGGAGTTTGGCGTGTTCATTCTCTGTAACTTTTTCCGGCTTGTGATCCCACCAGTTCTTTGTTACAGGCAGATGGTATTTGTGGCACAAGTTCCAATGAATCATCTGAGCAACGGTGTTGTGCCTCTGCTTGTAGTCTGTCTGCGTGATCTTCCAACAGCTGGGGATGTGATCTATTGATTCATCTGCTTCTTTGCAGAGTTTACATTTGGGATCTGTTGTTGTTGTTATTGTTATTATTATTTCCTTTACTGGCTTGTGCCAGAACCTTTGTAGTTTGATATTATTGTTAATGTTATTAATTAATACACAACGAGGCTTGGGAAGAACCCCTCCCTCCATGTGGTCCCCAAGTTGGAAAGTTTGCCCATGCCTGCACTAAAGGCATTTCTTAGATTGCCATGCAGAGATCTAGGTGACATTCCTCAGAACTAGTGCAGGTGCCAGTCTGCCCTTGTTTGACTGATAGAGGGTTTAAAAATAGAAAATGCTTTAAACTCTGAGAAACGAGGCTTTTCAATAAAGCTTCATCAGGCAGCTGATTTGCTATTTGATTCTTTTGGCTCTGTTCCATTTTCAAACCAAGCTGAAATGATGCCACGAAGGCCATCAAATCCCATAAGGCTTCCTATGGCGATTCCAAGTGAGGCCTTCATTTGGACCATTATTGAGCTTTCCTTGTGAGAAATGGCTGTTCTGCAGGTACCTAGTTTCTCATGGCAGCATAACAAAATTTCTCTGCTACATAAAAAACAAATTTGGAATCATCCCCCCAATAATGCACTTGAGAACTTGATCTAAGATTTTTCTGAAACCTATATATTATTGTTATTATTTCCAGTATTTATATTCCGCCCTTCTCACCCCACAGGGGACTCAGGTCGGATCACAATGCACATATACATGGCAAACATTCAATGCCATAGACACACAACATATATAGACAGGCACACAGAGGCTATTTAACTTTCCAGCTTCATGGGGGTATTTTTGAGTTCTCGCCACCGGGGGAGCTGTCGCTTCACCACCCACTTGTGACACCGATAGAGTACTTCCTCATTCTTTTGCACGCTGCTGGAGAGTTTTATGGCGTCGTAAATTAGTTAATTTAGCCTCCCCGCATATGCGGTACCAAAATTTCCTACTTGACAGATTCAACTGTCTTTTGGGCTGCAAAGGTCGACAGCAAGCTAGACAAATGGTCAGGAGCTTACTAATGTAATATAATATATTGTATATACATATAATATTTATACTATTATAATGTAATCCAACATAATACTACTAATAATAATATATTATAATTATATATTTATATAACATGTGATATTACTAATAATATTACAACATAATGGTATAATACAATATAGTAATAATTAATACTGATATTGTACTATGCTAATAATATAATATATTGTATGTGTATATATCTTGTAAGCCGCTCTGAGTCCCCTTAGGGGTGAGAAGGGCAGCATATAAATATAATATAATATATTGTATATATATATATAATATTTATACTATTATAATGTAATGCAATATAATACTAATAATAATATGTTATTATAATATATATTTATATTACATGTAATATTACTAATAATATTACAACATAATGGTATAATACAATATAGTAATAATTAATACTGATATTGTACTATGCTAATAATATAATATATTGTGTGCGTGTATGTGTACGTGTGTGTGTGTGTATGTATGTATATATATCTTGTAAGCCGCTCTGAGTCCCCTTCAGGGTGAGAAGGGCGGCATATAAATGTAATATAATATATTGTATATACATATAATATTTATAATATTATAATGTAATGCAATAAAATAATAATAATAATAATAATAATATATTATTATAGTTATATATATATATATTATTACATGTAATATTACTAATAATATTACAATATAGTGGTATAATACAATATAGTAATAATTAATACTGATATTGTACTGTGCTAATAATATAATATACTAGTGGTCCCCTGCCACGCGTTGCTGTGGCCCAGCCTGGTGATCTGGAAAATAAAGATATGAGAAAGTGTTGGTTTCTAATATATGTTATGTCTTTCTGCTTGTGGGTAAACAGTATTTCTTGCTGTTTCTTTGTCAGTGTTGATGTGGAGAGTGTCTGGTTTGCCTACTCTGGAACATGCAACATATCATTGTCCTTCTTTAGGGGTCCCTTTCAAATCTAGGATACTGCATCTGTCATATACATATGTGTGTGTGTAAATGGCTGGATGGCTCTTTGTCAGGAGGGCTTTATGTTTTCTTGCCCAGGTAAAGGTAGTTGGACTGGATGGCCTTAAGGCAGCATTTTGGAACCTGGAAAGTCAAGATCGCAGGGGGGGGGTCACTAGGGGGGTGTCAGAAGGGTCACCCAAGACCACCAGAAAACACAGTATTTTCTGTTGATCATGGGGGTTCTGTGTGGGATGTCTGGCCCAATTCCATCGTTGCTGGGGTTCAGAATGCTCTTTTATTGTAGGTGAACTATACATCCTAGTAATTACAACTCCTAAATGTCAAAGTCTAGTTTCCCCAAACTCCATCTGTGTTTTCACATTTGGGCATATTGCGTATTCCTGTCAAGTTTGGTCCAGATCCATCATTGTTTGAGTCCACAGTGTTCTCTGGATGGGGGTGAACTACAATTCCAAAACTCAAGGTCAATGCCCACCAAACCCTTTAAGTATTTTTTGTTGGTCATGGGAGTTCTGTGTGCCAAGTTTGGGTCAATTCCATTGTTGGTGGAGTTCAGAATGCTCTTTGATTGCACGTAAACTATAAATCCCAGCAACTACAACTCCCAAATGACAAAATCATAATTTTTTGAGTGATGGTCACTCCTTGTGTCATGAGACGTTTTGTTGCCAAATTTGGTGTGATTTCGTTCATTGGTTCTTTTGTTTTTAAGGTACTCATTATCATTGTATATATATCTTGTAAGCCGCTCTGAGTCCCCTTCGGGTTGAGAAGGGCGCCTATAAATGTAATATAATATATTGTATATACATATAATATTTATAATATTATAATGTAATGCAATATAATAGTAATACTAATGATATATTATAATTATATATTTATATTACATGTAATATTACTAATAATATTACAATATAATGGTATAATATCATATAGTAATAATTAATACTGATATTGTACTATGCTAATAATATAATATATATTGTGTGTGTGTGTATCTGTGTATGTATATATATGTGTGTGTGTGTGTGTGTGTATTTATATATCTTGTAAGCCGCTCTGAGTCCCCTTCGGGGTGAGAAGGGCTCCATATCAATGTAATATAATATATTGTATATACATATAATATTTATAATATTATAATGTAATGCAATATAATAATAATAAGATAGTATAATTATATATTTTTATTACATGTAATATTACTAATAATATTACAATATAATGGTATAATACAATGTAGTAATAATTAATACTGATATTGTACTATGCTAATAATATAATATATTGTGTGTGTGTGTGTGTGTGTGTGTATATGTCTTGTAAGCCGCTCTGAGTCCCCTTTGGGGTGAGAAGGGTGGCATATAAATGTAATATAATATATTGTATATACATATAATATTTATAATATTATAATGTAATGCAATATAATAATAATAAGATATTATAATTATATATATTTTAGTAAATGTAATATTGCTAATAATATTACAGTATAATGGTATAATACAATATAGTAATAATACTGATATTGTACTATGCTAATAATATAATGTGTGCGTGTGTGTATCTCTTGTAAGCCACTCTGAGTCCCCTTCGTGGTGAGAAGGGCAGCATATAAATGTCGTAAATGGAGCCTCCGATGGTGCCTGTGCCGGCAGGACTGAAGACCGACAGGTCGCAGGTTCGAATCCGGGGAGAGGCGGATGAGCTCCCTCTATCAGCTCCAGCTCCTCATGCGGGGACATGAGAGAAGCCTCCCACAAGGATGATAAAAACATCAAATCATCCAGGCGTCCCCTGGGCAACGTCCTTGCAGACGGCCAATTCTCTCACACCAGAAGCGACTTGCAGTTTCTCAAGTCGCTCCTGACACGACAAAAAAATGTCGCAAATAAATAAATAACTGATTTCTTACATGCTCCAACATATTTGACTGCAGGTTTAGATTTCCAGCATTTCCTATTTGTGGATTTCTGTATTTAGGAATGAACTTTGTGTCTTTTTTGTGGGGAGAAAGAGAGACTTTACATGTTCTTTAGCAAGTTTCAGACAATGCTTATATGAATCTTAACAAGCTAGTCCAAGACAGACGCATAAACTTGCTTGCCGTTTCTTTGTCTGTTCCAGAAAAGAAGAAAACAGGGTTATTTGAACAAATCACCAAAACCCACGGGACGATAATTGGCATCACTTCCGGGATTGTCTTGGTTCTTCTCATCATTTCGATCCTGGTGCAGGTCAAGCAGCCTCGCAAGAAGGTGATGGCTTGCAAAACTACTTTTAATAAAACCGGCTTCCAGGAGGTGTTTGATCCTCCTCATTACGAGCTCTTTTCGCTGAGAGACAAAGAGATTTCTGCCGACTTGGCCGACCTCTCCGAGGAACTTGAAAACTACCAGAAAATGAGGCGCTCGTCCACGACCTCGAGGTGCATCCACGACCATCATTGCGGCTCCCAGGCTGCGGCAGTAAAGCAAAGCAGGACCAACCTCAGTTCGATGGAGCTCCCTTTCCGCAACGACTTTGCACAGCCGCAGCCCATGAAAACCTTTAATAGCACCTTCAAAAAAAGCAGCTATACTTTCAAACAAGCCCACGAGTGCCCGGAGCAGGTGATCGAGGATCGAGTGATGGAAGAGATTCCTTGCGAGATCTACGTCCGGGGCCGGGAGGACGCTGCTCAGGGCTCATTATCGATTGACTTTTAGCCTCCTCTCGAAGGTGAAACGTCGGCCTGTAAATCTTGTAAATAGAATCCATGTGTGTAAACAATAATGTACCATACAGGATTTGATGGAGACGTAAGAGTTCATACTTTCTTAAAAGCTTGTTTAATTACTTCCCTTATTATTCATAAACCACTCTTCCCCTTTGAGCAGGCCAACAAGAACAAAACTGGTATGCATGGGGTTTCAAATGTCTCTCAATGAAGAAAGAAAAACCACAAAATATATAAAATACTCTTGTCACAGACAGTATATTTTCTCTACTTGGTTTCATATCATTTTTCTTCCATCCAGGTCCTCTTCCAAGTCCGGAGCTTAATTACTTTAGTAATAAAACGAAATAAGTGGGCAGAGCACCACGTAGCTTAACATCAAAAGTATTCAGCAGACGGTATTTCCCAAACTGTAGCTAGAATCACTGTGGTTAAGTGCCAATTAAGACTCAGATGAGTTACAGTGCATCCACCTGGTTCATCTTGATTAATTTTATATTGCTGCCTTTTAATTACAGACTCCTTGTAGACCAGACCTAAAGTTTGCTTTGCCAGCAGATAAGTGGATGACGGGCTACTTGCGCTGGTAACATTGGATCAATGCTGTAAAAACATTGTGCCAGCACACATTTCCAGGGTCTCCGTATTTTGACTTGTTGTCAAAGGGTTTTCTTGGCTTTGAAACTTTAGATTTCATTTGGGAGAGTAAGGTTATTCTAAAGCTAACAAAATGAAGTTCAACAGTGACAAATACAAGATACTCCACTTTGGCAGGAAAAACGAAATGCAAAGATACAGAATGGGGGGTGCCTGGCTTGAGAGCAGTACGTGTGAAAAAGATCTTGGAGTCCTCGTGGACAACAAGTTAAACATGAGCCAACAATGTGATGTGGCGGCAAAAAAAGCCAATGGGATTTTGGCCTGCATCAATAGGAGCATAGTGTCTAGATCTAGGGAAGTCATGCTATCCCTCTATTCTGCCTTGGTTAGACCACACCTGGAATATTGTGTCCAATTTCTGGGCACCACAATTGAAGAGAGATATTGACAAGCTGGAATGTGTCCAGAGGAGAGCGACTAAAATGATCAAGGGTCTGGAGAACAAGCCCTATGAGGAGTGGCTTAAAGAGCTGGGCATGTTTAGCCTGAAGAAGAGAAGGCTGAGAGGAGACATGATAGCCATGTATAAATATGTGAGAGGAAGTCATAGGGAGGAGGGAGCAAGCTTGTTTTCTGCTTCCTTGGAGACTAGGACGCGGAACAATGGCTTCAAACTACAAGAGAGGAGATTCCATCTGAACATTAGGAAGAACTTCCTGACTGTGAGAGCCGTTCAGCAGTGGAACTCTCTGCCCCGAAGTGTGGTGGAGGCTCCTTCTTTGGAAGCTTTTAAACAGAGGCTGGATGGCCATCTGTCAGGGGTGATTTGAATGCAATATTCCTGCTTCTTGGCAGAATGGGGTTGGACTGGATGATGGCCCAGGAGGTCTCTTCCAACTCTTTGATTCTAGGATTCTATGATTCTATTTATTAGGCAGATACTATGGATTGTTTGATAATAGCATTCTGGGTCTTGGGTTGTTATGAGTTTTCCGGGCTTTATTTATTTATTTATTTACAGCATTTATATTCCGCCCTTCTCACCCTGCAGGGGACTTAGGGCAGATTACAATGTACATATACATGGCAAACATTCAATGCCATAGACACACAACATATATAGACAGATACTCAGAGGCTATTTAACATCCCAGCTTTTTCATGAGGGTATTCTGGCCACCAGGGGAGCTGTTGCCTCACTGTCAATTCCTGACACTGATGAAGTACTTCCTCATTCTTTGCATGCTTGCTGGAGATTTTTATGGCATCCTAAATTGCCTCCCTGCATAGGCGGTACCTACATTTCCTACTTGACAAATGCAACTGTCTTTTGGGCTACAAAGGTCGACAGCAAGCTGCACAAATTGGTCGGACACTTACTCCAACCCGTGTTGGTTTCAAACTCGTGACCTTTTGGTCATTAGTGACCTTAATGCAGCTGACTCCCAGCCAGTTGCGCCACAGTCCCGGTGAATGGCCATACTCCAGAAGCATTCTCTCCTGACGTTTTGCTGCATCAATAGCAGGCATCCTCAGGGGTTGCAAAGTCTGTTGGAACTAGGAAAAAGGAGTTTATATATCTGTGGAAAGTCCAAGGTGGTAGAAAGAACTCTTGTCTGTTGGAGCTAGCTGTTAATGTTTCAATTGGCCACCTTGATTAGCAGTTAATGGCCTGGCAGTTTCAAGGTCTGGCTTCTTACTGCCTTGGGGAATCCTTTGTTGGAAGATGATTAGCAGACCCTTGATTGTTTCTTGTCTGGAATTCCCCTATTTTTGAGTGTTGTTCTTTATTTACTGTTATGTTTTTAGAGTTTTTAATATGCAATACTGGTAGCCAGATTTTGTTCATTTTCATGGTTTCCTCCTTTCTGTTGAAATTGTCCACACGCCAGCTAATCGCCTCCCAACAAAGTATTCCCCCAGGCAGTAAGAAGCCAGATCTTGAAACTGACAGGCCATTAAATGCTAATCAAGGTGGTCAATTTATTTATTTATTTATTTACACCATTTCTATCCTGCCCTTTTCAACCCCCGAGGGGAGACTCAGACCAGCTAACACTGGCAACAATTTGATGCCGCAATATCATAATATAACAACAATATAAAGCCATAAGATTAAAAACAATAACATTAATTATACAGTCACATAGCTGTTTCCATTATCATAACAATCATATGGTCCAGTTTGGTGTCCCAAGTGCCGTTGTGCTTGCTAGCCGAAAGCCTGGTTCCAAAACCAGGCTTTTTCCTAAAGGAAAGGAGGGAGGACAGACACCTATCTAATCTCGCTGGGTAGCAAGTTCCACAAACGAGGGGTCACCACCGAGAAGGCCCTGTCCCTCATCCCCACCAGACGCGTTTGTGAAACTGGTGGGACCAAGCGGGGCCTCCCCAGAGGATCTTAAACTATGAGGTGGAACATAGAGGGAGATACGTTTGGACAAGTAAGCTGAGCTGGGGCCATATGAGAGATATGTTTGGACAAGTAAGCTGGGCCAGGGCCAATTGAAACATTCACACCTATCTCAAACAGACAAGATATTGTCAAAGGCTTTCATGGCCAGAATCACTGGGTTGTTGTAGGTTTTTTTGGGCTATATGGCCATGTTCTAGAGGCATTCTCTCCTGACGTTTCGCCTGCATCTATGGCAAGCATCCTCAGAGGTAGTGAGGTCTGTTGGAAAAAAGGGTTTATATATCTGTGGAATGACCAGGGTGAGACAAAGGACTCTTGTCTACTGGAGCTGGGTGTGAATGTTTCAACTGACCACCTTGATTCATGCTAATCAAGGTGGTCAGTTGAAAGATTCACACCTAGCCCAACTTACAAAAGCCCTTGGTCTCACCCTGGTCATTCCACAGATATATAAACCCCCTTTTTTCCCAATTCCAACAGACCTCACTACCTCTGAGGATGCTTGCCATAGATGCAGGCGAAACGTCAGGAGAGAATGCCTCTAGAACATGGCCATATAGCCCGAAAAAACCTACAAACAACCAGTGATTCCGGCCCCCACCCTGGACATTCCACAGATATATAAACCTGACTTGCCTAGTTTCCAACAGACCTCACAACCTCTGAGGATGCCTGCCATAGATGCAGGCAAAACGTCAGGAGAGAATGCTTCTGGAACATGGCCAAACAGCCCGGAAAACTCGCAACAACCCAGTGATTCTGGACATGAAAGCCTTCAGCAATGTATTCTGGATCTTTTTCGTCTCATTCCATACAGTTTAAAATGTTACCTTGGAACTTGTTTTGAGGACATCGGAGCCCAGATCGTGATTTGTATTTCCTTCTTGCAGCAATACATCAGGGATTTAAGGAAGAAAAAGAAAAAAAACACCGAGAGGCAATTTCTGCCATATTTTACATGGTGCAAAAACCATGTTGCAGGTACTTAACTGTGAAACTAATACTGGTCCACGTCTTTCAGGGGTTCGGTCACACTTTTGGTGGGTGTCCTACAACAGTGTTCACGTTATTCCCACAAAGATCCCTGTTGGAATCAGCCCTTACTCTTTCCCTTGGTTGAGAAAAGCGATTGTCTGTGTTGCAAGAATTCAGATTCCTATGGATGGGTAGAGCAGAGCCCAGGACCAATCTTTTTTTTAATGGTATGTATTACATTAACGTTATTAAATTTGTTTACAGATTGTGTGGAAATGTCTGTGTACAATGTGGTTTCTATCAGAAATATTTGATACAACTTCGTAACGTTTTTCCTTATCTTCTATCTGGGAAAATATTCCGGTACGTTTTGGAAGCAGCCTACACTGCCTTGCTTCATCTTTCTTGAATATGATCCATCTCTACAGCAGTATCATAAAAGGAAACCTGAGTACTGGAATCTCCAGTCTTACGATGTTCCAACTTCCCCAACGTCCAACCAGGATAGTACAAGGGTTGAATGAAAAGTAATGCCTCCATCTTCGTTACTTGGGTTTGGATGGGAATATTTTAATAAACACAGAAATAATCCTTAGAATGTGCTCTTTAACTACCACTATTCATGTTTCCACATAATCACCAGACAATTGGATACATTTCTGCCAACAATGAACAAGTTTTCTGAAGCCGTCACGGAAGAAGTCGACTCTCTGTTTCCGCAACCAGCGTCTCACAATTCTCTCAACGTCTTCATCAGATGCCCACAGATCTTATTTATTTACTTTATTTATTTACTTTACTTCTATACCGCTGTTCTCAGCCCGGAGGCGACTCACGGCGGTTCACAAGACACAGGACACAGCAAAATTCAACACCAATATAAAACAGTTAATAACCTAATCTAATACACAATTAATACACAATTACTATAATAACCATTCACTAAGGTCTCATCACTAAAAACATGATCCAGATTCGTCATCCATTGTTCCATTCCTATGTCATTACCAGTCATTGCACAATTATTCGAACGCCTGCTGAAATAACCAGGTCTTTACTTTCTTGCGGAATACCATTAGAGATGGTGCTAACCTAATATCTGTGGGAAGGGCGTTCCACAGCCGGGGAGCCACCACCGAGAAGGCCCTATCTCTCGTCCCCACCAGCCATGCTTCTTTCATTATTGGGAACAGATGGAAGTCAGACGGTGTTCTTGAGTTCGGAATAGAGCAACTGCTTTGGAGACGGTGGTCGGGCATCATGGCCGG